TTTTTTCGGCCCCTCCATGCAGCAGTTCCCTGACCTTCTCTGACCAGAGATTGAACCCAGGCCCTCGGCAGTGAGAGCCCGGAGTCCTAACCACTGGACTGCCAGGGAAGTCCCTCATTGTGAGAGCTCTTTTTTTTTTTTTTTTTTTTGCAGCACGCGGGCTCCGGACGCACAGGCTCAGCGGCCATGGCTCACGGGCGCAGCCTCTCTGCGGCATGTGGGATCCTCCCGGACCGGGGCACGAACCCGTGTCCCCTGCATTGGCAGGCGGACTCTCAACCACTGCGCCACCAGGGAAGCCCATAAATTTTATTTTTGTAATTGAAATTTCATTTCTAAATTAGATGAGGTTTCAGGCTGCTATTCGTAAGTGACTTTCTAAAAATTAACACATCATGTGTGGATAATTTTTATTGCCCCAAAATGAAAAACTGATTGAATATAATTATAACTGTATGATCTCTTTTATTTTTTTAATATATTTATTTATTTATTTTTGGCTGCGTTAGGTCTTTGTTGCTGCGCACGGGCTTTCTCTAGTTGTGGCGAGCAGGGGCTACTCTTGATTGTGGTGCGCAGGCTTCTCGTTGCGGTGGCTTCTCGTTGCAGAGCACGGGCTCTAGGCACGCGGGCTTCAGTAGTTGTGTCACATGGGCTCAGTAGTTGTGGCTCACAGGCTCGAGAGCGCAGGCTCAGTAGTTGTGCACGGGCTTAGCTGCTCCAGGGCATGTGGGATCTTCCTGGACCAGGGCTCGAACCCGTGTGCCCTGCATTGGCAGGCGGATTCTCAACCACTGCGCCGCCAGGGAAGTCCCTACGATCTCTTTTAAATGTTGGTTTTTCAAGTTCTAGAGACCTCTTGATACACTATGTAAGAATAAGTAAATGCAAGTCTAAATGATAGGTAAAGGAAACTTCTATTCAGGTGAAGAGCAAACTTTGGTTGATTTTGCAGAATTACCACCTATTCTGTACTATTTATTAACTTGTACTTTAAGAAACTGCAGGATGTCAAAAACACTTTAGCAGCTCCCCTTCTGCTGGTGGTAAACCAACTAGTGAATCGTTTGTGAATTGTAAAATCTACACATGTTCATTCAATAATTGATCACAGGCTCTTGAACAGGTTATACTGATATTATTGAGAATAAAAAAAAAATTAAGCAGGCACTGTTATTGCCTTTGGTGATATGAATCCCCAGAACCTCTTCTCAATCATCTGGAGGTTTACAAGCGACCTGCGGGGAGCTGCGATGTGTACCGCTGGCCGAGTCCTTCCCCATCCTTTCAATCTAAGCCTTGGGTCGTAATGGCTGGTGGAAGCCAGCCTGGTTTGCCCTGGGTCAGCCACGTCACCTTACATATGATGGAACTGGAGTTTCTACATCATCCCTGTTCAAAAGGCAGAGCATTCAGCCTGGGCCGGGTGTATTTCAGGCACAGCTCCTCTGTAATTCCCCCACAGTTAAACAGGACTCGCGCAATCCACCCAACCTGCTACCCTTTCTCTACCCTGCCCCTTCCCCACTGCCTCCTCGCCCCTTCAGCTTTTTTTTTTTTTAATAAATTTATTTATTTGTTTATTTTGGCTGCGTTGGGTCTTCCTTGCTGTGTGCAGGCTTTCTGTAGCTGCGGCAAGCAGGATCTACTGTGTTGCGGTGCGCAGGCTTCTCACTGCGGTGGCTTCTCTTGTGCTCTAGGCACGCGGGCTTCAGTAGTTGTGGCAACGCGGGCTCAGTAGTTGTGGCGCATGGTCTTAGCTGCTCCGCAGCATGTGGGATTTTCCCAGACCAGGGCATGAACCTGTGTCCCCTGCATTGGCAGGCGGATTCTTAACCATTGTGCCACCAGGGAAGTCCCCCTTCAGCTTCTTTTATAGAGAGAGCTGCACAACTTTACTTTGAAGGATATTGAAATGTATGTTTGTGAGTTTATCTTGCGGTGAGTGTATTTTTGTGTGTGTAGAGGTTGTTGAGGAGTTAACATGATGGAGCCCAAATCCAATACTGGTCATTATCTGAGAGAGAGTGTAGCATAATTGTTAAGTGGGCTCTGGAGCCAGGTGATTTGGGTTTGCATCCTGGCTCTGCCACTTACTAGCTGTGTGACCTTAATCTCTCCGTGTCTCATAGCCTCATTTTTATTTATTTATTTATTTTCCTTTTTTTTCTTTATTAGAGTATAATTGCTTTACAATGGTGTGTTAGTTTCTGCTCTATAACAAAGTGAATCAGTTATACATATACATATGTCCCCAGATCTCTTCCCTCTTGCATCTCCCTCCCTCCCACCCTCCCTATCCCACCCCTCCAGGTGGTCACAAAGCACAGAGTTGATCTCCCTGTGCTCTGCGGCTGCTTCCCACTAGCTACCTATTTTACGTTTGGTAGTGTATATATGTCCATGCCTCTCTCTCTCGCTTTGTCACAGCGAGACATACCCTCAAGTCCATTCTCTAGTAGGTCTGCGTCTTTATTCCTGTCTTACCCCTAGGTTATTAATGACATTTTTTTCTTAAATTCCATATATATGTGTTAGCATATGGTATTTGTCTTTCTCTTTCTGACTTACTTCACTCTATATGACAGACTCTAGGTCTATCCACTTCATTACAAATAGCTCAATTTCGTTTCTTTTTATGGCTGAGTAGTATTCCATTGTATATATGTGCCACATCTTTATCCATTCATCCGATGATGGACACAATCATAGCCTCATTTTTAAAATAGGAGTTACAAATAGTACCTACTTCAAAAATAGTTGACAGGATGCACTGAGTTAGTGTAAATAAAATGCTTGGGGAATTCCCTAGTGGTCCAGTGGTTAGGACTCCGCACTTCCACTGCAGGGGCCTCGGGTTCCTTCCCTGGTCAGGGAACTAAGGTCCCGCAAACCACGCGGCCAAAAAGAAAAAAGCCTGGTACAGTGCCAGGCACATAGTAATTGCCATATGTGTGTGCCATTATTATTACCGTAGTAGTACTATTACTGTTACTACTAATAGACCTTTTCAGTAATAGAGTGGGGAAGAGATTCAGGAATAATCTATGAACAATGAAATATTGTTTGTTTTTTTTTGGGGGGGTTTTTTTTTTTTTTTTGCAGTACGTGGGCCTCTTACTGCCGTGGCCTCTCCCGTGGCGGAGCACAGGCTCCGGACGCGCAGTCTCAGCGGCCATGGCTCACGGGCCCAGCCGCTCCGCGGCATGTGGGATCCTCCCGGACCGGGGCATGAACCCGCGTCCCCTGCATCGGCAGGCGGACTCTAAACCACTGCGCCACCAGGGAAGCCCCATCTATGAACAATGAAATATTAACTGAAAGATTTTCTCATACATGGAGGTGTACTTGACACTGGCAGACGAAATAGAGACATTCATAATCTTTTTTTATTAATTTTTATTGGAGTATAGTTGCTTTACAATGTTGTGTTAGTTTCTGCTATACAGCAAAATGAATCAGCTATACGTATACATATATCCCTTTTTTGGATTTCCTTCCCATTTAGGTCACCACAGAGCACTGAGTCGAGTTCCCTGTGCTATACAGTAGGTTCTCATTAGTTATCTATTTTATACATCTATAATCTTTTTTTCTTCCAAAATGTCCCTTTTGGAGCTTTATTTCATATAATTCCCTTGTTAACAACTATACAGTTTTGAGGATGTGAGAAAAGTGCGAGCTTCAGTTAACACAGAGTCTTCCTGGACCTTGGCTCTAAAGCAGCGCCTGCCTGAGTGAGCTTCACAGTGTGGTACAAGCCTGCTCTGAGCTTCAGAAAAGCCTGTGCCTCTTTTCAGAGCAGACATTTGTGCGCCCTCACCCAGGGAAGCTGCTCCCTTCCGCTTGCCCTTTCCAGTACTTCTGTCCCAGCACCATCATTTCAACAGGAGCCCACGCTGGTTAATTACAGGTTGCTGGTGTTCAGGTGACCTTGTTCTCACGTGTGTAACCTGTTGGTAGGAATATTTTAATTCCAGATAACCCGCAGAGGACATCATCCTAGAAGCTGATGAGGTTTTAGAGTATTGGTTGAGACTGATGTGCAGATAAATGGAGGAGCATTGGTGTGAACCATTAATCTCCTATCCTGCTCAGCCTCTTGTCTGCATACTTTCCTCTGATCCAGTCAGTTTTCTTTCCCCTTCTTCTTCTTCTTTTTTTTTAATATTTATTTATTTATTTGGTTGCACCGGGTCTTAGTTGCAGCAGGCTGTCTTCTTAGTTGTGGCTCCCAGGCTCCTTAGTTGTAGCATGTGAACTCTTAGTTGCAGCATGCATGTGGGATCTAGTTCCCTGACCAGGGATCGAACCAAGACCCGCTGCACTGGGAGCACAGAGTCTTATCCACTGTGCCACCAGGGAAGTCCCTTCCTCTCCTTCCCCTTCTTAAGGAGTGTCTGCTCACTGCCTCCTCTGAAAATTGCCCAGTGACTTGGTACAGGTGTATTCCTGATCTGCCTTGTGAACTCCTGCTTCACATAACCCCTTCTTTAGAACAAGAATATGTATGTGAAAAAAGGTTAATCTGCTTTGATGCCTTTATTATTTCTGGCTTGTAATAGATTTCCCTCATGTTTCCAAAAGGTAAGTTGTTCGCTTCAAAAATGAATATATATTGCTGTGAATTAAATGTAATTTATTCTCTGTGGTTACACTTCCATCCTCACCTAACCTCTGTATGGTAGTAGTTCTCAAGGTTTAGTGTGGGGAGAATCACCTGGCAAGCTTGGTGAAGTGTGGGTTTCTGGAAAGATTCAGTCAGTCAGCCATGGGTGTCAGGAATCCTAGACAAGCATCTCCTGGCCCCTGTCCTAGGTGTGGTCGGGGAATTCCACTACAGAAGCATTGCTCTATTGTACTGTCCAATGGACATATGGTGTGAGCCACACACATAATTTAAGATTTTCTAGTTGCTACATTAAAAAAAGTAAAAAGAAACAGCTGAAATGTTAATATATATTTTATTAACCTGGAATGATATTAATCTAAAATATCATTTTAACATATAATCAATATAAAATTATTAGGAAGATACTTTACATTTTATTTTTCATAATAAGTCTTCAAATTCTGGTATGTATTTTACATTCAGAGCTCATCAAATTGAAATTAGCCAATTTCAAGTAGTCAGTCACACGTGGCTAGTGGCTATTTGTTTTGTGCTGGTCTCAGCCTGCAGATAACAGTGCTACAGCTAGAAATGCCTGGGGGGGACCCACCTGCACCCTGGGTGCGCCCCAGACAGACATTTCCTCTTTCAGAGCTGATGTTGTGGCCGGACCAACACTTGCAGTTCTTACTAGGATCGTAAGACACCCTCAGCAGCAACCGTCAGGGAGCTTTGCGGACACAAGGGTTATGACTCACAGCTTCCGGAGGGTAGACAGCACGCCCCGGCCATACAGCAAGGTCAGTACTGGTTTGATATTTGTCTATGAGCCAATTTAATTTCAATTCAGAAATGACTTTTGATCCAGCAGATGATTGGGTGTTTTGGAAAGAAATTGTAGGCATCTCCCTCATCCTAGGAGGGTGGTCCAATCCGCCCAACTCGGATAAAGTGAAATCTAATTCTCTCTCCATCACATGGCTCCTGACCATTTGGCAAGACCGTATTTATCATCTTTAGGTCAAAAAGCTTTGCCCCCCCAAACTAAGACCCGAGGTGTGAATGTCAGGAAGCAAAAGTTAACAGCATCTGGTTCATCATTGCAGGCTTTTTCCCCATCTTCCCACGCCCACACTGTTTTCAACCACTCTGCAATGTTCCAGACATCTTCTCCCCTGTCTTCTTTCCTTCTTCTACTTCTCTTTTCTTCTTTCCTTCACTACCCTCTTCTTCAAGTGAGAAGCAGAGTTCAGTAGAAAACAGCTGAAGGGTTGGGGAGACAGAAAAGGGAAAGATGAAAAGGAACAAATCTTGTCCTCCTACCACTGGGCCTTGAGTCCTAGGAAAAGTCAAGAAAAACAGTGGTGTCCTCTATCCTCAGAGTCAGGGTTTCCCCCTCTGGTGTGAACTGAGGCAAAAGGGTGCCCCCCCACCAGGCAGGAAGAAGTAGGACCAGCTGCAAGTCTGCACTGGAGTCCGAGGTCTACTCAGCAGACACGAGGCCGTCCGCTGCCCTTGGTTTCGGAGGTGGCCTCTGCTGGGTGCCACCGGCCCGGGGAACATACTCAACAAGTGCACTGGCTCTTCTCCCTCGGCCCCGGGGCCGTGAGGACAGGACTGGAATCCAGGGGGAGGCTGCCCAGGGTGCCCTCCCCGTACAAGGGCAGGCTGTGGCGAGCCATCAACTCCCTGGCCATCAGCACGAAGACCTCGTCGATGTTCTTGGACTCCTTGGCAGACGTCTCCAAGACAGCCAGGAGGCCGTATTTCTCAGCCAGTGTGCAGGCATCCTCAAACAGGACGTGCCGTTTTTCCCACATGTCACATTTGTTCCCTGGGAGTGAGAGAGAAGCAAATATTCCGATGAGTAACTTAATCTGGTTTTTTAAAAGGTGAACTTCAAAGAGAACATTTTAGTTTAGCAATATGCGCACATGCATTTGTTCACAAATAGTTACTGATGGCAGATTTACTGAAAATGAACCCAACGATGAATGGAAACAGAGCCACTATCTTTTATTTTTTTAATTGAAGTACAGTTGATTTACAATGTTGTGTTAGTTTCTGGTATACAGCAAAGTGATTCATATATATATATAAAATTTCAGATTTTTTCCATTATACTTTATTACAAGATATTGAATATATTTCCCTGTGCTGTACAGTAAGACACACACACCTGCGTGTCCGGAGCCTGTGCTCCTCAACGGGAGAGGCCACAACAGTGAGAGCCCCATGTACAGCAAAAAAAAAAAAAAAAAAATTGCACAGACTTGAAGCAGACAGGTCAATGAGTTTTGGCAAATGTCTATGTCCCATAACCGCCATCCCTCTCAGGACACAGAACATTTGCAATTCCCCCAGAAAGCTCATGAGGGGTTTTGCCAGCACAGCCCAGGATTTACTGTAAGAGAAGTACCGCATTTCTTTTCCTCCTCCTCAATCCTACATTCATCTAATCACTGGACTTTGATCTCTCGGAGGCAGGAATCTAAAGGCGAAATTACTTTCTCACCAGGGTTGTTTCACTAGACATCAAGGTTTATTACAAAGCTACAGCAATTAAGATGGGCTAGACCAGTGTTTCTTGACTGTCCTCATAGAGGGTCTTTTTCGATCTTTTTTCCCCCTAATTACCCCTTCGCCTCTGAAAAACAGTAAAACTTCCTATTTGGAAAAAAGATCTAGATTCACAGGAAATTGCACACACACACACACACACACACACACACACACTACATATATATATATATATATTCAGGGAGGTCCAGTGTACTCTTCTCCCAGTTTCCCCCAATGGTAACCTCTTGCACTACAGTACAATACCAAAACCAGGAAATTGACACTAATACAACCCACAGAGCTTATTCAGATTTCACAAATTATACACACATTCCTTTGTATGTGTGTGTGTGTGTGTGCGTATGTATTTGTGCAATTTGATCACATATGTAGATTCCTACACCTACCAGTGCAGTCAAGATACAGAACAGTTCCATCACCACGAAGTGCTCGCCGTGCTACCCTTTACAACCTCCCACCAGCTCTAATCCCTGACCCCTGGTAACTAATCTGTTCTCCATCTGTATAATTTTGTCATTTCCAGGATGTTATGTAGGGGCTTCCCTGGTAGCGCAGTGGTTAAGAATCCACCTGCCAATGCAGGGGACACAGGTTCAAGCCCTGGTCCAGGAAGATCCCACATGCCGTGGAACAACTAAGCCTGTGCGCCACAACTACTGAGCCTGTGCTCTAGAGTCTGTGCTCCGCAACAAGAGAAGCAACCACAATGAGAGGCCCACGAACCGCAATGAAGAGTAGCCCTAGCTCCCTGCAACTAGAGAAAGCCCACGCACAGCTACGAAGACCCAACGCAGCAAAAATAAATAAATAATAAATAAATAAATTTATTTTTAAAAAAAGAATCATACAGTAGGTAGCCTTTGGAGATTGGCTTTTCTCAGCATAATTCTCTTGAGATCCATCAGAGTGATGTATATATCAGTAGTTTCTTTTTTTTTTTTTTTTTTTTGGCGGTACGCGGGCCTCTCACTGCTGCGGCCTCTCCCGTTGCGGAGCAACAGGCTCCGGACGCGCAGGCTCAGCGGCCATGGCTCACGAGCCCAGCCGCACCGCGGCATGTGGGAACCTTCCTAACCGGGGCACGAACCCGTATCCCCTGCATCGGCAGGCGGACTTTCAACCACTGCGCCACCAGGGAAGCCCCCAGTAGTTTCTTTTTTATTGCTGAGTCATGTTCCATGGTATGGATGTACCACAGTTTCTTTAACTACCCACCCATATGAAGGAAACTGAGTTGATTCTAGTTTTTTATTATTATGAATAGTGCTTCAGTGAACATTTGTGTACAGACCTTACAAAATTTGTGTACAGACCCTACAGATACACTGTATATCTGGCCCTTTGGAGGCCACAAACCACTGTAATATCTAAAATATTTTTGCCCTCCAAAAGAATGCATGAAATAGACCAGTAGAATAGAATAAAAAGCTCAGAAACAAACTCACGAATATATGTACCCTTCACAGAAAGATGGTGCCACAGAGCAGTGGACAAGATTGCCTTTTTAGTCAATAGTACGGAGGCAATTGGATCTTTACATGAATAGTTACAAGTTTTGGCCCAGACCTCTCACTGTACACGATAATCAATGCTGGATAGATTGCAGATCTAAATGTAAAAGTCATAATAAATTATAAACAAACAAACAAATACAGCAAGCAAGGGAGGGTGGGAGGGAGACGCAAGAGGGAGGAGATATGGGGATATATGCATACGTATAGCTGATTCACTTTGTTATACAGCAGAAACTAACACACCATTGTAAAGCAATTATACTCCAATAAAGATGTTAAAGAAACAAAAAGCATACAGCAAGCAAGCTTCAAAAGATAATGTAGGGCTTCCCTGGTGGCGCAGTGGTTAAGAATCCACCTGCCAATGCAGGGGACACGGGTTCAAGCCCTGGTCTGGGAGGATCCCACATGCCGCGGAGCAACTATGCCCGTGTGCCACAACTACTGAGCCCGTGCTCTAGAGCCTGTGAGCCACAACTACTGAAGCCCGTGCCTACAGCCCGTGCTCCAGAACAAGAGAAGACACCGCAGTGAGAAGCCGGTGCTCCACAACGAAGAGTAGCCCCCGCTGGCCGCAACTAGAGAAAGCCTGTGTGAAGCAATGGAGACCCAATGCAACCATAAATAAATAAAAAAAAAAAAAAAAAAAAAAGATAATGTAAGGCTATGTTAATGATTTCAATTAGGGTAAATTTTCCTACATAGGATACAGGAAGCAATAATCATTAAGGAAAAGTTTGATGGATTGAAATATATTAAAATTAAAAATGTCTGTTCATCAAAATACACCATCAAGAGAGTGAAGAGGAACTCTGAGAGTAAAAAAGTGAAAGATGAGGGACTTCCCTGGTGGTCCAGTGGTTAAGACTCCAAGCTTCCAATGCAGGGAGCATGGATTCGATTCCTGGTCAGGGAACTAAGATCCCACATGCCGCATGGCACGGCCAAAACATTAAAAAAAAAAAAAATTTAAAATAAATAAATAAAAGTGAAAGATGTATTTGCAACACATGCAATTGACAAAGGGCTCAGAGCTGTTCAAGAGAACTGACTTCAGGGAGCATAGGTGACCCCAGCCCAGCTGCTACCCCACTGTCCTCCACCAGCTGGTGCAGAGGCCCCAGCACAGGGAGGCACTAACGCAGGCCCCTGCTGCAGAGACCAGGGTTCCATTCCTCTATCAGGCAGCTTTGGTTCAGGGCTGAACAAACCTTTCTTGGACACCATCCTCCTTCCTCCCTTCTCTCCTTCCCAGGGGCAGGTCTGCATGACATAGAAGACTCTCCCTGCCTCCTTCTGCGCCTTCCTCTTTACCCCTCACAGCCATTTCTCCCAATAAATCTCTTGCATGTCTATCGGATCCTGTCCTGACATCTTCCTGGAAGATGCGAACCAACATAGCTTATTTCCAGAAAACATAAGGTACTTGTAGGGATCAATAAGAAAAAGACAAACAACAGGTAGAAAAATGGGCATGAGAGTTGAAAAGAGAATATCCAAATAGCTAACAAGTGTATGAAAAGGTGCTTGACCTCAACAGTGAACAGGGACCTGCAAATAAAAAATGCGAGTGATATCACGACACACTTATCAGGATGGAAGAAATGAAAAGATCTGATAATAGCAAGTGCTGGTGAGGATGTAGAACCAGGGAATCCAGGTTCTAAGAGCTTTTGCTGAGAGATTGTGGACCTTTAAATGTAACAGGGGTTTAAATGGAAAGTTTGCCCGAGATCCTAAGGGGACAAATAGCAGATGCCAAAGAATGTTAAGAGACAGAACAGCCACATAACCTACAAAAGGAGGTTGGCTCCCAAACCCTCACTCTTAGGGAGTAAGAAGAGTTAAGAAGTTAGAAACAGAACAGAGGGGGATGAGAAAAGGGTAAGAAGCAGCCATCTCCAGGCAGAAAGCAGGGCACCTTGTGAATGATGTTCAGGAATTTGTGTGTTATCTTGGGGGTGATGGGGACACCGAAGGTTTTAAACAGAGGGACAGGGGCTTCCCTGGTGGCGCAGTGGTTAAGAATCCGCCTGCCAATGCAGGGGACACGGATTCGAGCCCTGGGCCAGGAAGATCCCACATGCTGTGGAGCAACTAAGCCCGTGCGCCACACCTACTGAGCCTGCGCTCTAGAGCCCGCGAGCTGCAACTGCTGAGCCCGTGTGCCACAACTACTGAAGCTCACTCACCTAGACCCCATGCTCCGCAACAAGAGAAGCCACAAGCCCGCGCACTGCAACGAAGAGTAGCCCCCGCTCGCCACAACTAGAGAAAGTCCGCATGCAGCAACGAAGACCCAATGCAGCCAAAAATAAATAAATAAAAATAATAATAAAAAATTTTTAAATAAGTAAACAGAGGGACATTACTGAGGAGCTGGGTTCCCTGTGAATGGCTGGAGGGGAAGGAACAGGGCAAATCAACGCACAATGGTCTCTTTGATTTTGTATGGTGGTGACGTGGCCTCTAGGGTCTGGGGTAAACTTTTGAGAGAGAAAGAGCCATTTGTGTGAAGAACCATGGAGACAGAATGGAAAATATGGTAAAACGGGCAGGGCAGGGACACTTCTGTGAGGGAACAGCACAGTTGGCTATCCCAGATTAAAGGGAGGAGGCCACTGACAGTAAACAGGAAGACCCGTGGTGTCAGCCCTTGGGATTGGATGCGTCATAAGCGGGAACACTGGGGACACGTCCTGATGATCTTTGGGGGCATTTCTAGAACCAGTTAAGAAGTGGGGCAGAGATATTTGTTACAACAGACAGACGAGGGAGTAAATATCAAGCAAAAGTTGTGAGATTCGTGGAAATCCCACCACATCTTGGCATTTGTTCCCGTACTCTGACCCACCTCTTTGTGCAGTAGGGGGAGGAAGAGTGAAGGACAATGCTGGTGGGGGCGGGGCCATCAAAGGGCGGGGCCAGCAAGGGAGGAGAAGGCGGCGGTGGAGAAGCGGGTGAGGCCTTCCAAAGACAGCCCAGAGGGGATGGCTGGTCGGGGTGGCTTTGCATGGCAGCTTTCAAGGTTCTTCTGCTTCAACGTTTCCTGGGAAGCCTGTGAATTTAATGGAAGAGGGATCCAACCCACCTTCCTGGGTAACCGCCAGTGAGTTTAGGACGGCGTGGTTCCCCTCAGCGAGATGCAAGGGATTCACACCCAAGCTTCCCTTCCCTGGGAGCTACTGTTGGTGGGGTTCCCACCTTCCCTGGCGGCTCAGCTGTGTCCCCCCTCTCCGGGGGATGCCCTCTGAGCCCCTCGTTCCCTGGACTGAGGTCTCAGCACTGTGCTAAGTGCTTTATATGTTACCTTGTTTAATCCTTTCAATTCAACAAAACCTTTGAGGCAGGTTACCAGTTTTATAGATGAGTAAGTAGAAATTTAGAGAGAGGGATGAGACCAAGTTCAGACAGGAAGGACAGAGAGGGAGATTTGAACCCAAATCTGTCTGACTGCAAAGTCCAGGCACTGGAGTGGACGAGACATTGCCTCAGCCAGAGCTTCAGGGGGCGACTGTCGGCCTGACCAGCTACTGGAAAGTGGCTGGACAGGAACTGAACCACCCGGGACTCTGATTCGAATCCTGCCTCACCTGTCAGTAGGTAACTCGGCTGAGCTCCTTGGCAGGATACTTAACCTCCAGAGGCCTCGGTTTCCTCAGCTGGGAGACGAGGATGGTCGTCTCTGCTTCTCAGGATGGTTGTGAGGATTAAATGAAGGGACCCAGGGGCAGACTCAGAGTGGAGTTTAGTAAATGTCACCTGTCGTCAGATCTTGTCACCCCTCCTGGTCATCACACTTCAGGAGCAGCTGCTGTGAAGGGTGTCAGAAACCTTGGCCAGTGTCCTCCTCGGTGCTTCGAAGAAGTGGTTATTGAGGAAGAAATATGGCTCTGTTGGGGGTCAGTGTTTATTTTTATAACTCTGAACTCTGCCTTTTTCTTTTTTAAAAAATAAATTTATTTATTTATTTGTGGCTGCATTGGGTCTTCATTGCTGCATGCGGGCTTTCTCTAGTTGCAGTGACCGGGGGCTACTCTTCGTTGCGGAGCACGGGCTCTAGGCGCGCAGGCTTCAGTAGTTGTGGCACGTGGACTCAGTAGTTGTGGCTCGTGGGCTCAGTAGTTGTGGCTCGTGGGCTCTAGAGCGCAGGCTCAGTAGTTCTGGCTCGTGGGCTTAGTTGCTCCGCAGCATGTGGGATCTTCCCGGACCAGGGCTCAAACCAGTGTCCCCTGCATTGGCAGGCAGATTCTTAACCACTGTGCCACCAGGGAAGCCCTGAACTGTCTTTTGAAGAAGTGTTCTTTATATCTGAAGTCAAATCAAAAATGTTTCTGGTTCCAGAGGGGACCTTTGGCTGAGAAGTAACAAGAGAGAGGAGGCAGCTCACGCTTCTCCAAAAAGACAAGTCGCCCTCCATGTGGAAGACGCTTCCCAGTCTCACTAATCTCTCCTGTTTTCTGCCATGAGGGAAAAGACACAGCCCCTCTGAAAAAAGGGGCTAAGTTTGAGGCGCATTTTCTTTGGCAACTGGCTGTGGATAGGGAGCTTTTGATCTGATGCAGCACGAAGGAACGAGCCCCATCTAGGCTCTTGGAATGACTTTGATTCTTAAGTTACAAGAAGCAGAATGAGTTACAAAGCAGCATTCTCTTCAAGGCCATGCATATGATAGGGGCTAGACTGTGACTTAAAACAGCAAAGACAGGGAAAACATGGTTCTAGAATAACAAGTCCTTTTTGGAATGACAATAGTAATAATAGATGGGCTAGATGTGCCAACGATGTGTGCGAGTGACCTCTTCTGTGGACCGTCTGCAGCCCAGCTATGCTTCCTGTCACTGCCTCCCCCCTCGGGGCCCAGCTGCTTGGTCCAGGCCTGGCACCTTACACCAGGCCTGCCCGCCACCGTGAGGTTGGCCAGCAGCCTGGGCCAGGCTTTGCCATGAGAAAGAGGAATGGGGCGGGACTTCTCTGATGGTCCAGTGGTTAAGACTCCGTGCTCCCAATGCAGGGGGCCTGGGTTGGACACCTGGCCAGGGAACGAGATCCCGCATGCGTGCCGCAACTAAAAGACCCTGTGTGCTGCAACTAAGACCCGGTGCGGCCGAATACATAAATAAATAAATATTTTTAAAAAATTAAGTATTAAAAAAAAAAGGAACGGGGCAATGGGATTTCCTTTCTGAAGAATGTGAGCTGGAGGGTATGAGAGAATGAGGGATTCTGTGGCAGGAGCAGGCTGGGGATAATGCTTTGAGGAACCCAGGAGGGATGGTTCAGAGGGAGAGTGCTGCAGGCCCACAGTATCCTGAATGTAAGAAGCAGCTCTGAGAGAAGACATAGATACACAATGGTGGAGGAGGCTGGTACACAGAGCCCAGCCCTGAGAAGAGGGTCCCCAACTTCCTGCTTGCGATGGGTGGCCTGGCTCCACTGTGTCTCCCACTCTGCTGGGCTTGAATGCTGGGCTGGGTTTTCCTAGGTCCCAGGGACTTGCACCCTCACCATAAGCACCCCACCCCATTGTTTAAGGAACACAGAGGAGTTTGTTCCCTCAAACAAATGAACCTTCTAGAAACAAATCCCACACCCGTTATGAAGCTCCTACTATGTGCTAGGCACTGTCAAGCGATGTATACACATTATCTCGTCACATCTTTACAACAACCCTAGTGAATACTGATTGCATATTATAGATGAGGAAACTAAGGCTCAGAGGTAACTTACCACACAGCTAGGATATGCCTGTGCATGGATAAATAATCCACTAATCATTGCTATGTTTAGCGCTCAGTCCCACAGCAGCTCTCTAGACCTGTGCTCTGCAAACTTTAATTTGCATGTGAATCTCTCTAGGATCCTGTTAAAACGAAGACTCAGATTCAGTAGGTCTGGAATGGGGCCTGAGATGGGGCACTTTTAACAACCCCCAACGTGATGCTGATTCTGTGGATTTTTAGGGCAGTGAAAATACTCTCTCTGATATCATCATGGTGGATACTTGTCATTAGACATTTGTCCAAACCCATAGAAAGTACACCACCAAGAATGAGCCATAATGTAAACTGTGAAGTTCAGATGACTATGATGTGTCAATGTAGGTTCATCCTTTGTAACAAATGTACCACATTGGTAGGAGATGTTGATATGGGAGAGGCTATGCATGTGTGAGTACAGGGGGCATATGGGAAATCTCCGTACCTTCCCAATTTTGCTGAGAACCTTAAAAACTGCTCTGAAAAAATAAGTCTTCATACAAAAAAAAAAGAAAAAGAAACCTAAAACCAAAAACCCCAGTGATGCTGATGCTGCTGGTCCGTGGACCACGCTTTGAGTAGCAAGAACCTAAACCAACTTGCCACTTGGTAAACATTAGTGTCCTTAGGAGGGGCACTGCTTGCAAAGCTAATACTATAGGGAAGTGAATGCACAATGTGACGGCACGTATTTCAAGCTGTGAGTTCACTGTGTATAGTTGAAGTTGCGGTTCATTTTGATGTTGGCTTGTTGTTAAGATTTGCTTAGCATCTTAGCAGGTGTGACAAGTCATTCAAGAGTGTTGTCAGTCACAGTCATCTGAGCGGCTCTTCCGGGGATTGAGAGCCATCTGACGCTGTGAAGCTCAGACTACAGAATACTTCCTGTGTAGTCTGTACAGACGTGTGTCGAATCAGCCAGGGTGTACCTTCATCTAGATATCTGGCCCCATCTCAGGTTTTTGCAGTGAGGAACTCTAGGGTGGGGCCCTGGAATCTGTATTCTTAACAAGTTCAAACCACCCCACTCTCATGCTCAAGTGAACCTGATGGGAATTTCTGGCCCAGATGTTTTCTGAGGTCCCATCCGCCACGTGCACTGTTACGGCTTCCTGTTCCACTGCCACTGGAAACACAGAAAAAGCTGAGCATGGGGGGCGGCGGGCAGTCAAGGAAAGCGAAACACTTTGAAATCGACCTACCAATCAGCATGATGACCAAGTTTGCCGCCCCGTATTTCTCTATCTCGTGAATCCAGTGAGGAACAGACTCGAACGTGGACCGCCGGGTGAGGTCGTAGGCAATGATGGCCGCGTGGGCACTGCGATAGTAGCTTTGGGTGATGGTCCGGAAGCGCTCCTGGCCTGCAGTGTCCCACACCTGCATCTGGAGAAGGGCAGGAAAGGGGGTCCGCATCAGGAGTTCCCACCCCTGATGGGAACTTGCTCGCCTAAGTCGTTCCCTGGGTCTCACTTCTAGAGATCCAAATTCAGGAGGTCTGGGGTGGGGCCCAGGAATCTGTCTTTTTTCAGGTGCTCCCCGGGGTAAATCCCCAAGGTTTTCAGGTTGGGGGCCATCACCTAAGGTGCCCTTCAGTGGGAGAGGCGGATCCAGTGTCCTAAGGTCTGGTGTTCTTTTGCCTTCCTACCACACTCATCCCTTCGTCCAGATGTTTTATCTTTTTTTTTTTTTTTGCGGTACGCAGGCCTCTCACTGTTGCGGCCTCTCCCGTTGCGGAGCACAGGCTCCGGATGCGCAGGCTCAGCGGCCATGGCTCACGGGCCCAGCCGCTCCACGGCATGTGGGATCTTCCCGGACCGGGGCACGAACCCGTGTCCCCTGCATCGGCAGGCGGACTCTCAACCACTGTGCCACCAGGGAAGCCTCAAAATGTCTTTTTACTATTGTGTTTGTTTAATAAGGATCCCACACAAAATCCACTTATTACATTTTCACCAACACTTTTTGATCTTTTTTGGTTGGTCAAATGGGTAAATGATATTATCTCACTTAGTTTAATTTCATTTCTTTAATCATGAGTAACAATGGGCACTTTTACTTTTTCACATAAATGTATGAGCCAGTTCACATAACATCTGTGAAGTAGCTGTTTTGTCTAATCTGTGAAGTGCCTACTTTTTGTATTTGGTTGTTGGTCTTTTCTTCGATATTTATCAGAGCTCTTTTCACATCAGAGAAATTAGCTCTCTGTCAGTTCCATATTTGCAAATGTTTCTTTCCAGTTTGTCACTCATCTTTGACTTTGTTTATGGTATTTTTGAGTATGTAGAAATTTGACCTTTATATGATCATATAGAAGAGTATTAATTTGACCTTTAAATAGTTAGATGGAGCAATATTTTCCCTTATGGCTTCTGGGTTCTTGTCTTACTTTAAAGCCTGATTTCTCTATTCCTCAATGATAAAAATAAATACTCCCATGGGTTTTTTTTTCCTGGTATTTTAATTATCTCATATTTTATATTTAAATCTTTCACTCCTCAGGCATGTGTTTCGGGGTTAGGAACCATGGCTAAAAGAGGCAGACCCACCCCTGTCCCCCTCTGACCTTCACTTTCTTGCCGTTGATCTCCAGGGCACGCACAGTGAAGTCCACCCCAATGGTGTTCTGCTGCGCCTCAGTGTAGACCCCGGACGTGAAATGCCGCACCACACACGTCTTCCCCACGTTGGAATCCCCGATGAGGATAATCTTGAACAAATAGTCAAAGTTCTCATCTGCTGCCCTGGCTGAGCTGGAGAATTGCATGGCTCTTGCCACCTAGAACAGATCAAGGAAGAAAAGAAGGAATTCAGTCTCTCTTTAGTGCAGCCATCCCCAACCTTTTCGGCACCAGGGACTGGTTTCGTGGAAGACAATTTTTCCTCAGACAGGGTGGGGGGCTAGGATGGTTCAGGAGGCAACGTGAGCGATGGGGAGCAATGGGGAGCAATGGGGGGCGATGGGGGGCGATGGGGAGCAGTGGGGAGCCATGGGGAGCGATGGGGGCAATGGGGGGCGATGGGGAGTGATGGGGGGCAATGGGGGGCGATGGGGAGCGATGGGGAGCGGCAGGTGAAGCTTCGCTCACTTGCCTGCCGCTGACCTCCTGCTGTGTGGCCCAGTACCTAACAGGACCGGTACTGGTCCACAGCCTGGGGATTGGGGACCCCTGTGTTAGTGACCACCTACCAGGGGTCGGGAACTATTCTTGGCACTCGGGATTCAGCACAGGACAAGACAGAGTGAGGTTACTGTTTTCCTAGCACTGCCGTCCTCGTGGGAGAAGGATGTTAATTACTGGTCAGGTAAGAGGGAGCTGCCCGCACAAGCCCCACCTGTCCTAGGTGAGTTAACATTACTTTAGGGGTGACCTTGGAATGAAGAGGTTCTACTGTTCTCTGCTGGGCCCAGTACACGGTCAACACTCTCAGATGACAGCATTGACTGGGACTTCCCTGGCAGTCTAGGGGTTAAGACTCCATGCTTCCAGCGCTTCCACTGCAGGGGGTGGTGGGTTTGATCCCTGGTCCGGGAACTAAGATCCCACATGCCTCGGGGCCCAGCAGGAGTGTTTTACCTGCCAGTTATCAGGTGGGAGACATGCCTAGCTGTCAGCCTATCTCCATGTCACACGGGAGGAAGACAAATTACTGGAAGACTGAATGGCAAGGCAACCAGCCGCAAGCATCCATGAGACCTGACAGGCAAGTCAGTTTCGGGAAGAGTCACACAGCCCTTTTCTTACGGTTGGCACCTGCTTTTCCTTGTCCTGGAAATTATGATTCTGAGAATATTCAGAATGAAAACTGTGGGGAATTCCCTGGCAGTCCAGCGGTTAGGACTCTGTGCTTTCACTGTCAAGGGCCCGGTTTCAATCCCTGGTTGGACAACTAAGATCCCACAAGCCTCGAGGTGCCACAAAACAAAACGAAACCAACAAAAAAACCCTGTGGTTCGAATGTTTGTGCCATACTCTACCATAGGCTGGAAAAGAAAGTTTCTCATGACAGTGTCTCCCAAACTAACTGATTATCAGAATTACCTGGGAAGATAATTAACTATCTATATATTCCTGGAGCCCATCTTAGGTCTGCTAAATAGATTTAAAAACATGCACACACTCCCAGGTGATTTTGAGGACTAGCTAGCCTTGGGAAGTGTTGACCGACACAATCACCCACCTGAAACTTTATTCCCACCTTCAGCGTCTCTGCTTAAATACCCACAGCATCTCAGATCACAAGGAACTCACTACCTCCTGAAAAAATCTATGTTGTGTGCACAGCTCTAACTTACATGGGGTTGAAATCTATCTCCCCCAGGTTTCCATCTGTGGACCCTCATGCTACATCGGGACTCCCATTCCACATGACAGCAGATTCCTACTCCACAGCCCAGCAGATAGTTGGAGCAGCAACATGTCCCCTCATGGCAGATATACCCGGGCCCTTCAACTGTTCTTTGCTTGTGTTGGGTCTCCTCGTCAGATGTCTCTTAAAAATACAGGAAACCTTATTTCATTTGATGACGAAATTTGATGTGTTGCAAATTGTTCCTGCCTATGACACCCTTCTTCATTTCCCCCAGTTTTAGTTTTTGGCTTTCTCAGAAGTCATAGAAAAGGACAAGTCTGTATCATGACACAGATTAAAATCTGTACGTAAAAACTGCGAGCTTTAAACAGACGGAGGATCCTACACTTCTCCTGGACTCCTCTGAAATCACTATGGCTAAATGATCCAGCAGACACGAGACATAATCAAACAACTCTTCCCCGGGCTTTTCAAGTAAAGAAAGCCATTCCACTTCCGGTGTCTTATCCCTGTAATTTGAGCTGAAATCTTACTTCCATGCCCCCGCCCCCATACACACACACCAAGTAAGTCCTCAGGGTTTCCACAAAAGCCCCCTTCACCTCCGCCTACACGCCCTGCAAGGAGAAACAAGCGATGTCCACCCTCCAACACCCTCCATCCTGCATCCTGTAACCTGCACCTGTTGCTTACCTGCTGGCTCTCTCACCTCTGCCAGTAGGTAACGTTTGCTCTTTCTCCTGGTTTTCCTTTTGGTCCTCCGTGCCCCTTCTTCCTCCTGTCTCGAGGCGTGGTGGGAACTGTAGTTCTGTCCCCAGGTGTCAGGTTTGGTGGCCTGAGAAAGTGAAAGGAAAGTGTCAACCCTCCCTCCCTCCGCCTCCCCCTCCCTCCCCATCCGGAGGAGCTGCCATTGGGTACAAAGCACGGGGTGAGGCCACACTAGGTCACCTTTCCTCCGGCTTCTTAGCATCACATGTTATCCAGCAAACCCAAAATGAAAAGGACTAGCCTGCTACCTCAGCCAACACCTACTGAGCCTCCCTGTTATTTCTTTCAGCTCACATTCTCTTAGGCGGCCCTTACCCCCAATTTTTCCTGGTGTCCCCTGTTTGGCTGGGGTGGGAGTGGCTAGTTGAAGGACAGCAACTTAAAGGAGGATACAGATCTGGGTTTTGAGTCATTTAACTGTTTTGTGGACTTGAATAACCTTTTCTGAGGAGCCACTGAGAGAAAGGAGGTGATCCAAAGAGAAGATTAAAAAACGAAAACAACTTTGAATTTGCAGGGGAAGAAGGAGCTGAAAAAAAATGTTTCCTTCCCCCCACAAAGTGTACCCCAGAACCAAGGTTAATTTCTAGGAAGACCTGGAGTTCGTCAGTCCCTGGTGCTGGCAGGAGAAGCATGGAGCTGAGGTGAATTTTCCTTTTTATTTTTTCCCCACAGAGTCTGGAAGAGTCACTGCTTCTAGCATGGGGACCAGATCAGCTCCACTCTGTGGAATGTGCTGAGCAGGCAGTGAAGCTATAGGCACAACATGCAAAACAGAAACATCCCGATCGATAAAATATTAAACTGGTGTAGTGTTTTAAAACTGTGGGCCGAGACCCGTTAATGAGTCATGAAGTCAAATTTAGGGGGTTGTAACCAGCGTTTTTACAGAAAAGATTAGGAAACCAATTCAGAATGCATTCCATGGAGTAAGGGTATTTTTGCACGAGCTGTTTGGATCAGTTGTGAACAGGCACGTGTGTGCTGGGGGTGATGTAAGATGTATTTCTTACTGTGGATTGAGGCCTAGCACTGAAATAGAGGACAATTTATTCACTACTCAAGAACATTTCTCCAGAAAACCTGTAAATGATGATTTATCTTACCCCAAATTCCATTTACACATCACTTTCAGGAACCTCTCTTTTGGGGAGGCTAAATCCAATGTTGGCAGGTAGAGCAAGAAGACAAAAGACACTGCCAAATACTGCTGCTGCATACCGTGCTTTATTGTGTTTTTAAAAAATTTTTATTTTATTTATTTTTTTGCCCATGCCATGCAGCATGTGGGATCCTAGTTCACATTCAGCATGCGGGATCTTAGTTCCCTGATGAGGAATTGAACCCGTGCCCCCAGCAATGGAAGCGTGGAGTCCTAACCACTGGACTACCAGGGAAGGCCCTGCAGACTGTGCTCTGAAAGCCACAGTCATGCATATGAGGCTTCAAAATGAAATGTAGGTCAAGATCCATGACAAATGTATGGGCAGGGGCAGGAAATAAAACCCGTGAGATGTGTCCGTGAGGTTAGGTGTCAAAATGTTCTCTTCTTCCGGTAATGATTACTGATAAAGAAAAAAAAAAACCCCAAACCAAAAAACCCCAGCTGACTCAGATTTCGCACTTAGAGAGCAAGTATAATTCGAATGGTAAAATGCCCGAATGGTTATGGACGTCAAGGAGAGGTGCTGCTTTTCCCTACCCCGACCCTCTCCACCAATGCTGACTATAAGTGCAAAGAGCAGAACTTGGGTTATGGGGAAGAAGGCATTCTTGACCTGGCTGGTGGTGATGCAGGTCATATACTTATACACACACACATACATACGTGCATATACACACATATATCTCACAATATATATAGTTTACCATTTTAACCATTTTTAAGTGTATCATCCAGTGGTCTTAAATATATTCACATTGTTGTGCAGCCTCCAGAACTTTTTCATCATCTCCAACTGAAACTCTATATCCTGTTAAACAATAACTCCCATTTCCCCTCCCCCCCAGCCCTTGGTAGCCATTATTCTACTTTCTGTCTCAATAAATTTGATTACCCTACGTACCTCATACAAGTGGAATCATACAGTAAGTGTCCTTTTGTGCCTGGCTTATCTCACTTAGTTTAATGTTTTCAGGGTTCATCCATGTTGTAGCATGTGTCATAATTTCATTCTTTTAAAGTTGAATAATTGTCCACAATTTGTTTTTTACAATAAGTGTGAAACGCCTGGTCTGGTTGATTTATGGTTGCTCCCCATAATATCACATTTCCCCAGCCACACCCTCTGATGACTGGAAACAAAACTACCCCTGCATTGTGTAAAGGCAAATACAAATTAAAAATAAGAGACTTAATTCTCCTTGTTGAAAATAAGGGAAGAGGACCCCCCTCCCTCCTTTTTCTTTCAAAATTTCTGTCCTTTTCGAATATATGTATATCTTTAGAATGGCTAAATAACCTCTGCCGGTCTCACAACTCTGGAATGTTTCCTCCAGGACCTGGGAGCCATCTTTTGAAATTCAAACATCCAGGGAGCTATTGCCCCTAACTCCCAGTTCCTGTGGCAGGATGGGAGGCTAACTTCCGTGGGGGCTTTGCTCCAATTTGCAAAACCATCTCCTGTCCTGAAGGTGTGAAAAGTTTGTTTGTCCTAAAGGTGTGAGAAGTTCTCTGGATAAGCCAACTCCGGTGGTCTCCCCAGTGACCATGATAAAGTTAGGAGAAATATTTGTGACATAAGGTCCAGTCGAGTCCTCTCACTTGAGGAGTAGTGATTATCTGAGAACTTGCCTGGAGTGGGTAGTGTCTGCCTGGCAATGTAAGGGGGAGATTCCTTTCTTCCTTTGTTACCTCTTAGCGCGTTGCCTGTGATGTGCGTCACAGTCTGATTCAAAGCGTATTCAATAATAAAACTGTTTTCTAATCTGCTATCTTTGTGGACAGGTTTTCTGGGTTGAAAGACTTATTTATTTATTTATTTTCCCCCTAGCAGTTGAAAGAGAGCCCGGAGGGCAAAAGACCCTTGTTCAGAGTCGTGTGTTGTAAGGCCTTCAGTTTTTTTTTGTTTTACATCTTTATTGGAGGCCTTCAGTTTTTGCTTGAGGTTGCCAGGATCTTAACACTCATTTATTTGTTTGGGTGATGGGGGTGGGATGTACAACAGTGAATTATACCGACAGACTAATAACCCTGTCCTTATGGGCAACTGTATTTAATTCAACAAAAATTTAAAGCTTATGCCCTCATGGCAGGTCAGTAGCACACCTAGCAGCGCATTTCTTTCTCTCAAAACAAAATGCAGAATAAAGGTTTTTTTTAAAAAAAGATGATTTATATATACATAATTTTTTCCCAGATTATATCTTTTCTCTCCCGCACTGCTTCTTTCCTAACAGTCCTGGCTGGTGTCCGTCCCTCCGACCCCCACTTCTCCCTCGGAGCTGCCGGGTCCACCCAGGCCTCTGGCGCCGTCTGGAAGCCGACACTCCCCCTCCCCCTCCCCTCCCCTGTCCCTCCCTTGTCCCTCCCCTCCCCTCCCTCTCCTCCCTCTCTTCCAGTCCCTCCCCTCCCCCTCCCCCTCCCCTCCCTGCCCAGTGGCCCTCAGGTAAAGCCGCGCGGTCGGACTACAACTCCCAGCATGCCTCGGGTACCGACGGGTCACGTGAATGCCCGGAAACCCTGGCAGCGGCGGCGCCGGTGAGGTGGCGGTGGGAGCGGCAAGCTTGCGGGCGTGGCGGAGCGAGAGGAGCTATCGGCCGGCCGGAGTGCGACTGCTACTGCGGACTCGGGTGCGCGAGTGGCGACGCGCCGGGCCCGAGCCGAGAACGGCCGGAACCCGGCTTGGGGCGGGGGTGAGGGGCGCCGCAGGCGAGGGCAGGTCCGAGGAGCTTCCAGGCGACGAGGGGACGGGGCGGAGAGGCAGAAGGTGGCGGCCGGTGGGTGTGGCGCCGCGGGCAAGGCCGGCCACCCCTCGTTCCGTCCACGCTGTGCCTGGCTCCTCGGCGCCCAGGTGCTCCGGGACCGGCGGAGTACCGTAGCGGGCCGGCGAGTACCGTAGCGGAGGGGAGCGGGAGGGTCGGGAGGGCCTCCGGGGAGAGCCGGCGGCCGGGCCCCACGCCAGCGCGGTGGCGGGGGCGCCTGTGCAAGAAAAGGGTTTGTCGTCTAGACCAGGTGGAAGGGTACCTCACAGGTAGGGCGGGCAGGCTTTTGGAGAGGATGTAGTGAGGCCACAGAGGGAGAAGGGTCTTAGTGGAATAACTGGGCTTTGCCTTTTGGTAACTACCACGGTCTCGGTCAGGAATTTATCTGATCGCTTTTTCGTCATTAACTCAGTATTCTTGTGTGCACAATGTGGTCTGTTTATTCTCACGTCTCACGGGATTATGGGAACGTGTCCACAGGGTTTTTGGTGTTTCCAGAAACTAGGCGATCTCCTGATAACTTACTGAAAGGATTGTAGGGAGTTCCTGGGGTGAGCAAAATATGATTTTTAATGGCCACCTTCTTTCTTCAGCGTTTTGATGGTTGAATTCTTTTTTTTTCCCATTTGTTGAATGTTTGTTGTATGCCAGGCACTGTACTTACTTACTAAATTAATTTATTTTTGGCCGCGTTGGGTCTTTTTTAAAAAATTATTTTTGTCTGCGTTGTGTCTTCATTGATGCGTGCGGGCTTTTCTCTAGTTGCGGCGAGCGGGAGCTACTCTTCGTTGCGGTGCGCGGGCTCTCATTGCCTTGGCTTCTCTGGTTGCAGAGCACGGACTCTAGAGCACAGGCTCAGTAGTTGTGGCGCACGGGCTTAGTTGCTCCGCGGCATGTGCGATCTTCCCGGATTTAGGGCTCGAACCCATGTCCCCTGCATTGGCAGGCGGATTCTTAACCACTGCGTCACGAGGGAAGCCCCAGGTGCTGTACTTAGATAAATTGTCTCATTTAATCTTCAGTGAGGAAATTGAGACTCAAAGAAGTTAAGTGGAGGGTCTTGAATTCCAACTGGAACTTTCATGCCTTTGTGTGGGCCATGTTGTGGCTTCAGATGACAATCTTCTATTAATCTTTGATATCTGGTCTCTGCATCAGAAAATAACCCTGAAATGATACTTTCATAAGCTCAAAGTCGGTGCACTGTCTTGTTGCTCACTAGCTGTCAGGATCCAGTGTATTAGTCATTGTCTCAGGTTCTGATTTGTCTTGTTCACCAGTGGTAAGGAGATGTCAGAGCAATGACCATTAACTTGAGTATAAGTCCTTTGTCTAGGAGAGGGAAAGATTTTTATCTTGAAAACTGTTGTCTTTGGAATATGTTCAAAATAGGTAGGAAGAACGTGGTTTGGGGAACCCTGAGAGAATTTTACAGAAAAGTGCTAGGTATTTTACATCTGTGGTAAGGAACAATTTAAGAAGAGAGACAAATTACAGGAAGACTTGAGTTTCGAATAAAAGGATTTACATGATACAGGGAAACGACCTCAAATGAGGTCATGTGGGATAAAAAAGATACTTGTGTAAATTACAGAATGCACAACTGTCACAATAGGTGAGCTCAACTATCCATTTAGTACTTTTCCCCCTACCTCTATACTGAGTATACATAATCATTTTACTTTGCAAACATAAAAACTGAAGTCTAGGGAGTGAAGTAATTGCCCTTCTTATTTAAGTGTGTGCGAGAACCACAGTTACTAATAAGGTGCTTTTTTTCCATCCTGCATCTATACTTCCATGTTTAATGTGTGATATTTTTAATTACTGTGTTTTACCCAACTTGGGATATTTTAACCTTTTAACCTTCCCTCTTACACAGTATAACGTAGGGTCTAGGGTCAGGTCTGGGTTTGAATGCTCCTTTCACCTCCTAAGAGATATTACTTTGTAAAATCCATTTTTTTATCTGTAAGATATGGTGAGAACTAAATGCAATGGCACATGGTAAGTACCTAGCACAGGGCCTGGCACTTTGAAAGCATTCAGTGTCGGCCATCAGTCAAAGCATTCATTCATTCAGAAAATCTTTACTGATCATTCTAAATGCTCTGCTAGGCCCTGGGGTTGTAGCTGTGGTGTTAAGACAGATGTGGAACTTACAGATGAACAATAAACATGTGAACAATTAAAGCAGATAATGAGATTGGGAGAAATGCTGTGAAGGGAAAAAGCAGATGGAGATGGGAGAGGTAGTAACGGAGGGAGCCCATTTTAGATAGGACGATCCAGGCAGCCACTCTAGCGGATGACACTTGAGGCTGAGCCAGGGAAAGGCAAGAGCAAGCCGTTTGCAAAGAACCAGGAGGAAAGCATGTCAGACAACAGAAGAGCAAATGCGAAGTCCCAAAGCAAGGAAGGGCTTGGTGTGTTCAGGGGCAAGAAAGGGATTGGGTGCTAGGGAGATGGTAGCCATGTGGAGGAGTGATGCTGGTGGGGGGCGGAGCAAGGGGGGCACAGAGGAGAAGGAAACGGCTAGCCCCACGCTGTGTACAGCGGCAAAGGACTGGGACCCACCCAGATGTCCCGCAGGAGACTGGACTGCGGCAGCTCTGTAGGTGCAGATGGGGTGGACCTCCACCCTCTGATAAGTGAAGAGAAAAAATAGTGCAGGATAGTGTGTGCATTTGTGTATGTGTGAGTGTGGGGCTACGCCTGGAATGCACGCACAGGTGCAGATTCTGCAGGAATGCAGAAGCAATGGTAGGAGCCCCTGGTGACATGAGAACAGGGAGGGAGGTGTCACCGTGTATATACCCTTTGAACTTTCTACCGTATGTATATAGCATCTACTGCATACAGGTTTTGGAGGCCATGGCAAAACTCTTGTGGTTTTATATGAGTCTTGGGAAACAGTGAAGAAGGCATTTTAAGCAGAAGAATGACAGCTGATTTATGTTTTAAGATATGTTTCTGGCTGATGTGTGAAGAGTGATGGGCAGCAGGGGGCTGGTGTGTGTGCTAGATGTAAAATAGTGAAACCCTGCCGGAGGCTGTTGCACTAGGCTTGGTAGAAGATGTGGGTGGTTGACCTTGGTAGTGGCTGTGGGGATGGAGAGAAGAGGATGGATTTGGGCTGAATTTTGGGGTGAAAAGGACTGGATTTAGTAATGGGTTGGATGTGGAAGCTGAGAGGAAAGGAGAAATGAGGGCTAAGTGTTAGTTGCCTTGGTGGTACCATCTTGTGAGGGCAGTGCTGGGGACGAATGGGTGTGGAGGGAGGAAGTGAAGAATTGTGAAATTGTCTTTTAGTTCCAAGGAGGGCTCTCAAGTGGTTGGTTGGCTGTGCCCCTGGGAGCCCTGGAGGGTCTGAGTTAGAGCTGGCGCTCTGGGAATCATAGGCAGAAAGCCGTGGTACCAGATAAAGGGGACAGAGATCTTGGAAGTTTAGAGAGAGAAGTGTAAGTGGTTATCTCAGATGTTGAGAAAGCAGGTCCTTAGGCAAGTGTGGACTTGCTGGGCAGAGCTGCATGCCCTCTGAGGTTTGTGGTTTTGAATCTGAAAAGTGAAACCAGCCGGCTCCTTTGATTTTTCTCTGGCAAAACTCAATCACTTGGGCCCAGGGGAGGAGGCCAGAGGCAAGCGAGGAAAAAAAGGCCCATAAGGGAGATAGTGCAGATTCTAAGTTGGGAAAGAAGGGAATGAGGACAGGAGGAGGGTCATGGATGAAGGGAAAAAATGGGGAGGTGACCTAATTGGGAGCTTGCTGAGGTAAAATGACTTTGGAGTGGGGAGTATGAAGTAAGCAGTTTTCTGGAAGGAGACAAAGCAAGATGTTTGAAATGCAGTTTGGGAGGTGATGCACTTACTGCTTAGTAGATGACACGGGCTGGGTTTTGACCACGGAGTGGGTTTTGCTTGTGGGATAGAGGAAAAGATTGGTGGGAAGAGGACAAGGGTCTGCTAGGTTACCCATCTGGGTGTTGACATGAGACAGAGCAGAGGGGGGACAGCAGGTGACCAGGAGACAACGGCTGTGAAGGGCAGTGGGCAGCGAGGCCCAGGAGCTTCGGAGAAGCTGGGGTCTTGCAAGGAGGAAGAGTGGTTGTGAAAAGGAAGATTGCTTCTCGCTGAGAGACCCCAGAGGAAGCAGTGTTATCTGGGGGCAGGCAGGAGTCCGCCAGGGTAGGAAAGGCAAGAACTCGCAGAACAGGGTCATAGTATGGAGAAGTAGATTAACTGCTTCTCTCCATTTCCAGAGAGCATTTCCTTCCAGTGGGGGTCGGGTGAGGATGGGTCCGATGAGATGGAGGTGGCAGGTGATCTCCTTTCTGCCAGTCTCTCCCCTTTCCTCTCCGCAGTCTGTTTCCCCCAAAGTGTTCCTAATATGAGACTTTATTTATTTATTATTTTTTAATAATTAATTTTGGGCTGCGTTGGGTCTTCGTTGCTGTGCATGGGCTTTCTCTAGTTGCGGCGAGCCGGGGCTATTCTTTGTTGCGGTGCGTGGGCTTCTCATTGCGGTGGCTTCTCTTGTTGCGGAGCACGGGCTCTAGGCGCCTAGGCTTCAGTAGTTGTGGCTCGCGGGCTCTGGAGTGCAGGCTCCGTAGTTGTGGCGCATGGGCTTAGTTGCTTCACAGCATGTGGGATCTTCCTGGACCAGGGATTGAACCTGTGTCCCCTGCATTGGCAGGCGGATTCTTAACCACTGCGCCACCAGGGAAGTCCCTACAAGACAGCTTTAAATCTTACTATTTTGAGTTGGAATGGACTCTAAATATGTATGGAAAGTGAAATTTGGGGAATGTTTTATATTCCAAGGCGGTGTTTTTAAGGGGGAGATTGCCCTCTGCCTGGGCGTGTCACATGTGAAGCCATCTTTTTATTTAGCCTCCAATCACACAATATGGAGTGTTCCATCCTGGAAAGTATATTGTGTGGGTGATCCTATAGGATCTCAGAAAGCTTCTTACAAGTCAGATGAGTTAATGATCATGAACTAGCCTTGAAAAGTAGAATAAGGCTCAATGGTTCTGCATCCTTTTTTTTTTTTTCTGCATCCTTTTTGATGGCAGGGATCTTACTTTTTATAAGTTTTTTTTTTTTTTTAAGGTCATTCTTGTTCTCACATGACAGTTGTATATTTAGTATCCATGGATTAAGAAAATACTAAATGACAAGCTTCTGTTCAGAAACACTTAAAATGAATTTTGGCTTTATTAATTATAACAGCATTTACATATGCTTGAAAAATGTTAGACATTTGTTCAGTCTGTATTCAGAGCCGGAAAGAAGATGGTCTAAAAGTAGGATGTGCTTAATAGAGTTGGACTTGGCAAAAACTCTGTGCTTCTGCAGGGCTCCAGAGCTCACAGATGATCAGAAATCACTTCTGTGAGGTAGGACATATAAATGCAAGGTATTGTTATTAATGATTATAATTATATAGGACCAGATGTTATAATAGTATTCATTTTAAATGGCATTCTGCCAACATCAGATGAATGTTTAAACTCTTTTCCCATTGAACTTATTAAGCATTTTCTTCCCTGTCACTGTAGCTAAGGAAAAGGTGGTTTATTTAGAAACTAAATCCAGATGGTCTCAAACAGCTTGGTAGTCATTTAGCACCATTAATGTAACTGTACAGGCCTGAAATCCACAACCATTATTGCCGAAGCAAGTAATTCCAATCTGTTGGAGCATACATTTTTGGAATTATTCTCTTACCTAATTAATTATAGAATTTCATAACCCACAACCTTTTCTGAAGTATTCAGTACAGTGTTGAGTTGTGAGTGTGTTCAGGTCAAAGAGCTATGATTTATAAAGAATGGTTAAAATTTTGAGTTGTTTCACTTGGGTGTCATGTTTAATTTGGGGGATAGAGGTAAATTTAGCAGTAACACTAGTAGCTCTCAGGTTTGTAACTTCCTGGAATTACAGACAGAAAGTTTATTTACATTTTGTGAGTGGAAATTTGTTGTCTTACTTGGCTCATAATTTTGTTTTAACATTTTTCAAGGAGAATGATTATGTGAAATTAACTATATTCTCCTGATGTGGGATTAACCCTGGGCAGATCAGTGGCTAAAATAATTATCTTAATACCTTACATGCATTGTTTATTTTGGTCCCAGAAGAGATAGGCCATTTTACACATGACAGTCTGTGCTTCAGACAGATTGATGTGTCCAAGGGCTCACAGCCAGTAAGTGAATCAGCTATAATGTTTATATAACTTTAACCATCTCAACTTTGTATCTTTTATCCAAAAGTTTCAAGAATGGCCTTTCAGGGCTTCCCTGGTGGCGCAGTGGTTGAGAGTCCGCTTGCCGATGCAGGGGACACGGGTTCGTGCCCCGGTCCGGGAAGATCCCACATGCCGCGGAGCGGCTGGGCCCGTGAGCCATGGCCGCTGAGCCTGTGCGTCCGGAGCTCCGCAACGGGAGAGGCCACAACAGTGAGAGCCCTGTGTACTGCAAAACCAAATAAACAAACAAACAAACAAAAAGAATGGCCTTTCAGCTGGGTCTCTCAGCATTTAAGGTTTTGGGTTCATCTACCAATCAGTAGTATAAATTGTAATAGAGAACAGGAGTATAAATAGCAGTTACAGGGAACACAGCCTTGGGCAAAGTCCTGTGATTCACTAATTTTAGCGCTGGAAGCTTTTGAGTTTGTCTCCTACCTTGACTATTATTGTAGTATGTTTATCATACAAGGTATTTTGTTAATTTAATTTTTTTTTAAAGCTTTTTTTTTTTTTTTTTTTTTTTTTTGCGGTACACGGACCTCTCACTGTTGTGGCCTCTCCCGATGCGGAGCACAGGCTCCGGATGCGCAGGCTCAACGGCCATGGCTCACGGGCCCAGCCGCTCCGTGGCATCTTCCCAGACCGGGGCACGAACCTGTGTCCCCTGCATCAGCAGGCGGATTCTCAACCACTGCACCACCAGGGAAGCCCTGTTTTTGTTTTTAATTTATTTGTTTTTGGCTGCGTCGGGTCATCGTTGCTGCACGCAGGCTTTCTCTAGTTGCGGCGAGCGGGAGCTACTTTTCGTTGTGGTGCATGGGCTTCTCATTGTGGTGGCTTCTCTTGTTGCGGAGCACGGGCTCTAGGCGTCCAGGCTTCAGTAGTGGTGGCACATGAGCTCAGCAGTTGTGGCACGCGGGCTCTAGAGCACGGGCTCAGTAGTTGTGGTGCACGGGCTTAGTTGCTCTGCAGCATGTGGGATCTTCCCAGGGCTTGAACCCATGTCCCTTGCATTAGCAGGCGGATTCTTAACCACTGCACCACCAGCGAAGCCCCTGTTAATTTAATTTTATTTTTTCCTAATATGCAGATAAACTATAGGACTTTTACAATGCTGTGGATGTTTTCCCTCCTGATTATAAAAGTAATATACATGTTTATTGTAGAATTTTTAGGAAAATATATAGAAAAGTACAATTACCCATAATCCCACTGCCTAGAGAGAACTATATATTCCCTGTTTACTTGTAAATATTACGTAAATCTAGAGTTCAGTTGATTATAAGTCATATCCTACACGTTTCACTTGCCATTTACTCATGTTATTATAAAGTCTTAATCATCATGTCAAATGATAAAATATTCAGCCATTTGGATATACCATAATTTGTTTAATTATTCCCCTCTTATTGCATGTTTAGGTTGTTTCTGCAGACTCATAGCTGGAGACATTAAGTGTAGGTGCTTACTTTATGCTTCATTAGTCTTGGTGTCAGAGTGTGGATGTGGCTTTCCGAGAGGACAGAGGAGAGGTGAGAGGAAGTGGAAGGAGATGGCAGAGGTGTGGCCCTGTCTCTTTTCCCTGTTCCTTTATGACTGGCACAAAGTTCATTTCTTCATATAGGAGAGCTCTTCCGACTTTTTGTGAAAACTACCCTTGTGTATAGAGCTGAATGCATCTTGTATTTCTTTAGGAATAAATCCCTGGAAATTGAATTTTTGTGTCAAAGGCTCTCAATGCACATGGCCGGATCGTCTTCCTATAAAATTGTGTTACTTTTCGCTTCCATCAGCAAGTGTATGAGAGTTCAGGATCATTAGACCTTGAGCTGCATTGAGCACAGTCTTTTTTAACTATGCAAACTTTTTTTGTTACCATAATTAGCATTTCTTATGTTCTAATGAGATTGGAACTCATATTTGGTAAGTTTAATAGCCATTTCATTTCTTCTGAGTTGTCTGTTCATTTCCGTTGCTCATTTTCCAGTCAGAATTAGTGATTTTCTTGTCAGTTTGTATGAGAGTTCGTTCTGTTAGGAGGTAATCTTTCATCAAGGATTTCTTTTTTTTTTAAATAATAAATTTATTTATTTATTTATTGGCTGTGTTGGGTCTTTGTTGCTGCGCGCAGGCTTTCTCTAGTTGTGGCGAGCTGGGGCTACTCTTCGAGTGGGGGCTGCTCTTCGTTGTGGTGCACGGGATTCTCATTGCGGTGGCTTCTCTTGTTGCGGAGCACCGGCTCTAGGTGCGCGGGCTTCAGTAGTTGTGGCTTGCGGGCTCTGGAGCGCTGGCTCAGTAATTGTGGAGCACGGGCTTAGTTGCTCTGCGGCATGTGAGATCTTCCCCGACCAGGGCTCGAACCCGTGTCCCCTGCATAGGCAGGCGGATTCTTAACCACTGCGCCACCAGGGAAGCCCCAAGGATTTCTTTTTAAAGGACTAGTTAATAGCTATAAAACATAATTATCAATCTAGTTTTTTGGTGTCAACTAATCCACGTAATTTTTTTTTTCGAGGCCTGATTATACAGTGACTGGTTGTAAGTCTAAATAATTCTGTTTTTGGATAATATGCCTATTATGAGTAATGTTAATAATGTGTTTTGTTTTTCCAGAAAGAAGAAATGATGTAAACCATTCACTATCCAGACTTTAAGGTCAAGGTGAGAAGGAAGGTCAGGAGGAACATGGCCTGGCCAAATATTTTTCAAAGAGGAGCTCTGCTCTCCCAGTTCAGCCATCATCATGTGGTGGTGTTCCTGCTCACCTTCTTCAGGTAAGTGGACCACTGAAACTCTTCTCTTGTTGTTCTTGTCCTTGTTTTCCTTTTGCAGGAGCTATTTATTGCATGTCAAGTGCTTAATGCAGTGATTGGCCTGGGCTAATCATGAGCTGGACCAGCTAGTCCTTCTGCAGTACTTTATGATAGCTCTAATACAGTGGTTCTCGAGGGTTGTCTTGCCCATATTTGGCAATGTCTGGAGACATTTTTAGTTTTCACGCTGGGGGAAGGGGTGCCACTTGGATCTAGTGGGTTGGGACCAGGGATGCTGCTAAACATCCTGCAGTGCACGGGACAGCCCCCCACAATAGAGAATTTGGGGGGCCCAAAATATCAATACTGCTGTGATTGAAAAACCTTGCTCTAACATAAAGTCCTTTAATTGTTGAAACCAGGAGCTTGCGAACAAAAGATGTGTGTATTCAGGGAATGCTCTATGCCTCCTTGAGCAGTAAAGGTGGTAGGAGACCTCTTTGAGGAACTTCGGTCACTCGTGTGAGAGCCTGACCAGTCAGTGTGACTGAAGAATCGTCCATGTCTGACTCAGTGGCCTTCAGTGGCTCTCTTTAGTGGTCTATAGATGACTTCAGCCAGGCTCTTTGGTGTTAAGGGCACGTTTTTCATAACCCTGTGACTCAACTATTTTGATTATTTCTTCTGAATACATTTTATTTATAATTAATCTTTATTGAAGCCACCGCAAATGATGGTGATGGTTGTTTTTTTTTTTAAGGCAGAAACTAGGAAAATGGTTTTCTAATTATGTAAGAGTTGATAGGTAATTTTGCTTTAGGGGAAATCCATTTGTGAGGGGTTGGGGGAGGCAACAGTATGAGGAAAAGACAGGCCCCAAGTAAAAAGCCACTGAATGGCTAGTGCAATGAGTGGCCAGTGGTTGGTAAAGACTTAAAATCCTTTACAGAACTGCAACCATGATTTAAAGGGGTTGCAGTCCATCACATCTCCATCTTCTAGGTCCAGAGACATGTTATGAGTGAACATGGGGGCTCATACTGAAGAAGACAAGTCAGTTGTTTCTTTGCTTAGCAGAGAGTGTTTCAGTGGATAGTTCTTATAAAGCAGTTTCTTCCCTCCCTCTTTCCCTCTCTCTCTTTCTTTCTGAATTTCTCTTTTTTAAAAGAAGAATTCCAAGTTGTATAAAACAAATGGGAATATATCTGTGATTTTATTGAATCTGTTTTTCTTTCATTCAGCTGTCTTTCTTCTCTCTTTTGTAGTTACTCGTTGCTCCACGCGTCAAGAAAAACATTTAGCAATGTCAAAGTCAGTATCTCTAAGCAGTGGACCCCAAGTGCTTTTAACAAGTCAGTTGAACTGCCGGTAGAGGTAAGCGGAACGAAATGCTGGGGTGGATTTAAGAAGGGAACCACGCCCACCCATAAATTCTTCTAAGTTCTGTTTTGTTTCATTCATCCTTAGGATGGCTTACTATTTCCTATGGCATAAAATCCAAACTATTCTGCCTGATTTCTTAGCTTGCCCTGATTCAGGTCTGTTTTACCATTTCAACCAACTTATTTCTCACTGTTTTGAAATCACACAATTCTGGCTAGGCTGGTTTTTTCATCGAGTTTCACAAGTACCATGCTCATTTCTGCCTTTGAGATTTTGCCTGTGTTCTTTTGTATGATCTTTCACCTTCCTTACACCCATCTAAATTTTGCTTTTTCCTTTGTGTCAAGATAAAATGCCACTTTTTCTATCAAATTTTTTTCCCAGCTTCTGCTGATTTTTTTCCCCTCCTGAACTGTGCACTGTAATATGCACTGCATATTACATAGTTTAATGTCGAGGTACTTACGTACTTTATAATCATTTCACTTGTTTTTATCTTGTTTAAGTGACTTGAAGTCAGGGAGTCTGTATCCAGTTTTATATTCATTTTTGTTTGTTTGTTTTGTTTTTGTTCTTTGGCTGTGCCGTGTGGCTTGCGGGATCTTAGTTCCCCGAGCAGGGATCGAATCCAGGCCCTGGCAGTGAAAGTGCTGAGTCCTAACCACTGGACCTCCAGGGAATTCCCTCTTATATTCATTTTGGACCAAGTAAATTCTTTGATGACTATTTGGAATGGAGATGCTATTCTTTTTTTTAAATAAATTGATTTGTTTTTGGCTGCGTTGGGTCTTCATTGCTGCGTGCAGGCTTTCTCTAGTTGCGGGAAGTGGGGGCTACTCTTCATTGTGGTGCACGGGCTTCTCATTGCGGTGGCTTCTCTTGTTGTGGAGCATGGGCTCTAGGCTCGGCGGCTTCAGTAGTTGTGGCTCATGGGCTCTAGAGTGCAGGCTCAGTAGTTGTGGTGCACGGGCTTAGTTGCTCCGCAGCAGGTGGGATCTTCCCGGACCAGGACTCGAATGCGTGTTCCCTGCATTGGCAGGCGGATTCTTAAGCACTGCGCCACCGGGGAAGTCCTGGAGATGCTATTCTTTATGATGCCATATCTCAATACAAAAATCCATACCTGTCAAACTTTACTATGTTGTTTGAGCTGTACTTATGTGGAATTATAGGTATATGTTAATATGCTTTGCACTTTTTAAAATATTTATTTATTTTTGGCTGCGTTGGGTCTTTGTTGCTGCACGTGGGCTTTCTCTAGTTGCGGTGAGTGGGGGCTACTCTTCGTTGTGGTGCGCAGGCTTCTCATTGCAGTGGCTTCTCTTGTTGCGGAGCACGGGCTCTAGGCACATGGACTTCAGTAGTTGTGGCCCACGGGCTCAGTAGTTGTGGCTCACGGACTCTAGAGCGCAGGCTCAGTAGTTGTGGCACAGGGGCTTAGTTGCTCCGCGGCATTTTTATTTCTTAAAAATTATTTCCCCTATTTGGACCAATTCAAAATTGACAGAGATTCGAAGGTTATATGAATATACCCTGAAGTTTAAATAAGTTATTCAGTCAATTGCTTATTCAGTCTGTCTTGCACTGAGGATACAATCAATCAATCAGTCAATCAATAAAAGTCTAGAGGATTAAAAAAAGAAAAGAGCCTGTCCTCATGGAGCTGACATTGTAGTGGAAATGCTCTTGAACAATTTTTCTGGAATTGAAGTTATCAGGGACTTTTTTTTTTTTTAATCAAGGACTTTTAAAAGGGAGGCTGTTAAGACTAGGCAGCTACATTTCTTGATGGAGCCTTGACCAGTGTTGTGTGCACGGTAACTACGTCTGTATGATCATTAACTGACTCGTCACAGACCCTCAAGGTGAAGTGGCCTTAGAGAGATCTTATGCCCTAACCTCTCAAATGGTATAGAATCCTTCTTTGTCATTATTGACAGATGACCACCTAGCTTCTGCTTTAAAACTTCAGGGAGAAGAAACTCCCTGTTTTCTAGGTGGACGATTACATTTTTATTTAACTCTCATTATTAGGAAGTTCTTTCTTATAGTGAGGTAAGAGTGTTCTGCTGTTTAATTTTGATCTTAGGTTTTATCCTGAGCCGTGCATACTAAGTTGATTCGTGCTGTAGGACAGCCTGTTAAATATTTGAGGAAAATCCGTCTCCCTGAATTTCTCATGTTGAGGCAAAACATCCCTGCTCCTTCGGCTGTCGTTTAGTGACACAGAGCACTAAATGAGCTCTTTCAGGTACAGGCTGACCAATATATAGATAATAGGGTTTGATTTAGGCACTGAATTTCTGGTTATACAGCCTTTGTTTTTTAGGTGACTGGGTTGGAGATCCCCAGCGCCACCCCCAGGTTTGATGATTCACTAGGGGGACTCATAGGACTCAGCATATGACTCAAAACTATGGTTTATTACAGTGAAGCATACCGAGCAGAGTCAGCAAAGGGAAAAGCACATAGGGTACGGTCTAGAGGAAAGCAGGCAAAACCTTCCAAGAGTCCCTTTCCAGTGCAATAATATGGATGTGCTTAATTTTTCCAGCAGCAAGTCATGACAGCTCCGGTGAGATGTTGTCTGCTAGGGAAGCCCATTAGAGACTTGGTGGCAGGGTTTTTACTGGGGCTAGTCATGTAGGCACCCTCTGCCTGGCACATATGAAAATTCCACATTCCCATAAGGAAAGCAGGTGTTCAGCACAAACCATATTGTTTGGACAGACAGTTTAGGTACAGGGAGCCACTCTTAGCAGGGAATGATGGGAACCCTCCCAAGATCCAAGTTTCCAGGGGCCAGCCTTTCAAGTAGGCCTTGTTAAGGGTACATATCAGGTCTGCTATGGTAACTCTTTCCTGCCAGTGACCGTGTCACATTATTAGCTTGTGCTGAACTTGCATTAATTTTCCCGCTAAGATATTTACTTACTTATTCTAATTGCTGCTTATTGAAGTAGGTTTCACCATTCTGATCTTTCAGAACTATGTACTCAGTAGCTTGCATGGATTGATTATGTAGAAGTTGGGTTCTGACTTATCTTGGAGGTCTTTGTATTTCCATACCTGCCCTCATAGAGAGCAGTGCCAACCTTCCACTCCCTTCTGTAGACTTTAAAATCCAGGTTTTTTCTTTCCTGAAGCCTGCTGCTGGGAGCAGAGTGGCTAGGGCAGTATGTACCTTTCACTCCTTCTGTGCTTCTGGGTCTGTAACTATCTTAACTCTAGCTTCCTTTGGAGACTTACTTTCTTGTCCAAAGTGGAAACGTTCTTAGAACTGGAAATATACGTAAAATGAGTCAACTCTAAAAAACATTTTGTTTATATATGTTTTTTTAACATTTCTTAAGTGCCCTAAACAGCATCCTCAAAAAGTGCTTATTGTAGCTTTCATGTTTATGCATAGCTATCTTAGGTGCTTTACAAAAAAATTAAGCAGACCCAGTCTGTATACCTTGAGATTTTATAATGGATCCCACTGACATGGGCAAACATTGGACATAGTAAGAGATCATGATATAAAATCTCTGTTTATAGATAACGAAGAGGAAATGGTCGAATCTAAGATTTGAGGACAACTTGATTGAAAATTGTGAACAAAAATTTGTTCCATTAAGTTAAAAAGTCATAACTCTCCAGACAGCACAGTCCTTCCAGGGTGTAGGGAATAGTGTAAGAGTCTAAACTTCTCTCCAGGAGAGGAAAGCAGGATTCAAGGTGCCCTCAACATTCCAGCTCAACCTCGGCCACAGCTGCTCTTACTCAGATTCTCACAGCAACAGATACCTGACCCCTGAACACAAGTCAGCTTCAGCTTCCTCCGAGCGCCGCTTCAGGAAGCGCTTTCGTGTCAGTTTCCCCACCCCCATGCATAGCTATAGTTCAGTGATAAACATTCTCACTTAGGAAACCCACACTGTGACCTTTTGTGTTTCCTGGAAGTGCCCCAATGTGTAGCGGTTGTCGTAGCTTAATGCAGGCCCTCCCCTGACAACACAAGAAGGGCCTCCACACGTACAGGCCGGTCCTTTCACATGGCAATTGTGCATATGTGCAGGCCAGCGGGTGAGATTTGAGCACCTTAAAGTCACTTTGTTGATGACCTTCAGGTTCATTTCATTCTCTTTTGAGGAAATATCTGCCAGATACCCAAATCTGAATAACTAGAGTTTGTCTGTCGGTCACTCTTACGAGTAAAAATGACTTTTCAGCTTGCGACTCACAGTTTTCCTCAAGACAGTCATCTTCTCTCCTGTTTGTATAGCTGTATTATCGATGTTAACTTTCTTCACTAGTAACTTTCTTCACTAACTTTCTCTTTTATCCTATTTCCTGAATCTTTTTGTTAGTCCTGCTTTTTTTTTTTTAGTTTTGGGGTTTGTTTACACTTGTTAAGTAGGCAGTCAGAAGTGTATTTCAGCTGAATTTTAAACAGAAAAAAGCTGTTTGAAACCTGTCAGTTTTTGTGTCAGCCACACCTGCAGGGAGATTTTGGTGGCTTCTAGTAAGAGAAGAAGAAAAAAGAAAAAAACCCTGAAATTTGGAGCAGCTGCTTGAATGTGAGCTCCTCACACTGGTGTGTGCCCCCCAGGGCTTCATTCTCCTCACACTGGTGTGTGCCCCCCAGGGCTTCATTCTCCTCACACTGGTGTGTGCCCCCCAGGGCTTCATTCTGGGTCCTGTTGAGCCTGGATGGCATCAGGGATCAAAGATTGTGGTTAGAGAGGAAGGTGGCAAAATGACTCTAATTGGAGATATTTCGGGCCCCAAGCTGGCACACTGAAATACTGATGGGTCTCAGCCGTGTGGGCTGCTTTCTTATCGCTCATGAAAGCAGTGTGTGAGGGAAAGTAACAAGACTGTTGGCGTTAAGCCTCATGGAAGTGAGTCACAATGCTTTAGGATCACACTTTATATATTCTCTTACAATTTGGGGATTTTACTTTCTGTTAAAAGGTAGAGTGTATTTTAAGTTGCCGATTGTGATTTTTCTCTTTAATATTCCAAAGTCAAATTTTCTATAATAACCCATCTCAGAAATCATTTAGTATAACAGCTTTTTGGTCTGGAGACCCCAAAGAGCTATGGGTTTGTATTTATGGAGACTTACTGTTTTAGAAATTAAAACCAAGACATTGAAGAAAACTACATTGGTTTTAAATTATTTATAAATGAACTAAATAACCTATAACACGTTAACATAAATAACATTTAGTGAAAAATGACTTTTTCAAAATGGAAAAAAACCACTTAATAAGGAGAGTGGCATTGATTTACATTTTTGCAAATCTCTTCATGTCTGGCTCAATAGAAGACAGTGGGTTTTCATGTCTGCTTCTGAATTCAGTCGCTTGCAGCTTGATCCTTTAAAGTATATGAAGAGAATTTGGCTTTCACAGATACATAGTAGGAAGGGGAGAAGTATTTTAATAGCCTTTTTCGTTAATTGTGGATATTTGTCTTTGATACTACATGAGAATTTGACAAGAGGCAATTTCTTAAAGGTTAGTTACAATGTGGAATCTGAAACTGTATTCATTAACTTTTTTATACACTTGCATTAAGATCCATTTGTCTGTCTTGTCCTTTGAATGGATCCTGAAGTGACAGGCTCATTTCATTCTTTTCTGAGGAAGTATCTGCCAAATACCCAAATCTGAATAACTAGGGTTTGTTTGTCAGTCACTCTTTCAAGTAAAAAGGACATTCCAGCTTGCAGCTCAGACAGCTTTCTCAAGATAGCCATCATACTTTGGTGTGCATAAGTGCTGTATGCATATTTTCTGCTTCATCACACGAAATATTTTAAAAAATGTACTCAGGGGCCAGATTTAATAAAATCAATAATTTTTACTGCTCGACAAATATTTATTGAACGTCTAGCATGTGCCAAGGACATTCTTAAGTGAAATTGCCTTTGTTTTTTTTTAAACTGCGCGACATTAAAGAATACAGTGATTAATAGTACAGTTGTGGGGCTTCCCTGGTGGTGCAGTGGTTGGGGGTCTGCCTGCCGATGCAGGGGGCACGGGTTCGAACCCTGGTCTGGGAGGATCCCACATGCCGTGGAGCAACTGGGCCCGTGAGCCACAACTACTGAGCCTGCGCGTCTGGAGCTTGTGCTCCGCAACGAGAGGCCGCTATAGTGAGAGGCCCGCGCACCGCGATGAAGAGTGGCCCCTGCTCGCCGCAACTGGAGAAAACCCTCTCACAGAAACGAAGACCCAACACAGCCAAAACTAACTAACTAAATAAATTAATTAAAAAAAAATATATATATAATAGTACAGTTGTGTAACCGCCTTGATCCGTGCTAAGGCACAGGAGTTTTACCCACCATTGCTTTTGCACCATCAATGGAAAAGTTAAAGGGAAAACGCAAATAACATTTTAGTGTTATGCAAATGATTTTGGCCTTGTGGACCTTTTTTGCATATGTGTTTCCTTATGTACAGAATGCTGATTTGCTCTTTTCAGTATCACCACCTGGTGATGCGGGGGTGGGTGGTAGTTGTGTGTGTAGGTGCTTTGGACCAGCGGGACTGACTGGTTCTTGTGTGACTGCAGATCTGGAGCAGCAACCATTTGTTTCCCAGTGCAGAGGAAGCCACTCTTTTCCTCGGAACACTTGACACCATCTTCCTCTTCTCCTATGCTGTGGTAAGTCTCAGAACTCTAGGCTTTTATGTTGAGGAAAAATGTAAAATTACTCCAAACCTTATGAAGTTGGCAAGGGATTTTGAATTTGCTGACTGAGGAGAGTTTATATTTTGTGTCCTTCCCATTCCTCTATTCCTCCATTCGACACATATTTTTTGAGCACCTAGCATGTGCCGAGCATGTGCCAGGTACTTTTCTAGTCGATGGGGAATTCATCAGTGAGCATCACAGGAGAAATCCCTTCCTTCATAAAGCTTATATTCTTTTTTAAGCTTCTCTTCTTGAGTGGGAGCTAAGGGAGACAAATGATAACAAAATGCTGTAAATAAGTAAATGACTGAGTGTATTCGAAGGTGGTAAGTGCTGTGGCAAAGAGCCAGGCCCGGGTGGGGGGGCAGGAGGGGGTTTGTCGTGTATGTAGGACAGCCGGGGAGGACCTCATGAAGAGCAGAGGCCTGAGTGTAGGTGGAGATTTCAGAGCCCTTCACATATAGATGATTTTTTATTTTTATTTTTTAAAATTTATTTATTTATTTGGTCGTGCTGGGTCTTAGTTGTGGCTCACTGGCTCCTTACTTGCAGCACGTGGGCTTCTTAGTTGCGGCAGGAGGGCTCCTAAGTTGCAGCTCGCAGGCTCCTTAGTTGTGGCATGCGAACTCTTAGTTGCAGCATGCATGCGGGATCTAGTTCCCTGACCAGGGATTGAACCCGGACCCCCTGCATTGGGAGTGTGGAGTCTTAACCACTGGACCACCAGGGAAGTCCCGTAGATGATTTTTTAAATTATGAGACTGGATGAAAATGGTCAGGAGAGTTGATAAGGACAGGGAGGAGGTAGGAAGACTGAGCCGGGGCTGGGGCGTTTCCAGTATTTCGAGGTGGGGAAGATGAGGGGTGCGCCAGGGAGGCTGAGAGGGAGCAGGAGAACCGTGAGAGGGTGGCATCGTCCTGGGAGCAGAACCGGGACAGCCGGGGCCAGCTCTGGCTGAGGGAGTATCCCGGGATCGGGCAGCCAGAGTCTCTGTCTGGCCTTAGGGAGTGTCTGTGGTGGCTGCTGAATTAGAGTGGTGGTGGCCATAGCTGGAGCTGTGCCCCCGGGGGAGCAGTCTGACCTTTTCTCCCCAGCATCTTACTGTTTATCTTTAAAATGTGTCCAGTTACAGGGCTTCCCTGGTGGCGCAGTGGTTGAGAGCCCGCCTGCCGGTGGAGGGGACGCGGATTCGTGCCCCGGTCTGGGAGGATCCCACATGCCGCGGAGCGGCTGGGTCCGTGAGCCATGGCCACTGGGCCTGCGCGTCCGGGGCCTGTGCTCCGCACAGGAGAGGCCGCAACAGTGAGAGGCCCGCGTACCGCAAAAAAAAAAAAAAAAAAAAGTGTCCAGTTATAAAAAAGCCTTTTAGGTATAAATGTGCAGGTGATGTGAAATGCTGGGTGAAAGTCCCAAAGTAATCTCCAAATGTTTATTTGGGCGGTTACTAGAATATCTTTTCTTTTTTTTTTTTATTTTTTTTTATTTTATTTATTTATTTATTTTAAACATCTTTATTGGAGTATAATTGCTTTACAATGGTATGTTAGTTTCAGCTTCACAACAAAATGAATCAGTTATATATATACATATGTTCCCATATCTCTTCCCGCTTGCGTCTCCCTCCCTCCCACCCTCCCTATCCCACCCCTCCAGGCGGTCACAAAGCACCGAGCTGATCTCCCTGTGCTATGCGGCTGCTTCCCACTAGCTATCTACCTTACGTTTGGTAGTGTATATATGTCCGTGCCTCTTTATCGCTTTGTCACCGTTTACCCTTCCCCCTCCCCATAGCCTCAAGTCCATTCTCTAGTAAGTTTGTGTCTTTATTCCTTTTTCACCCCTAGGTTTTTCATGACTTTTTTTTTCTTAAATTCCATATATATGTGTTAGCATACGGTATTTGTCTCTCTCTTTCTGACTTACTTCAGTCTGTATGACAGACTCTAGGTCTATCCACCTCATTACAAATAGCTCAATTTCGTCTCTTTTTATGGCTGAGTAATATTCCATTGTATGTATGTGCCACATCTTCTTTATCCATTCATCCGATGATGGACACTTAGGTTGTTTCCATCTCTGGGCTATTGTAAATAGAGCTGCAATGAACATTTTGGTACATGACTCTTTGAATTATGGTTTTCTCAGGGTATATGCCCAGTAGTGGGATTGCTGGGTCATATGGTAGTTCTATTTGTAGCTTTTTAAGGAACCTTCGTACTGTTCTCCACAGTGGCTGTATCAATTTACATTCCCACCAACAGTGCAAGAGGGTTCCCTTTTCTCCACACCCTCTCCAGCATTTATTGTTTCTAGATTTTTTGATGATGGCCATTCTGTCTGGTGTGAGATGTAGAATATCTTTTCTTTGAAGAGGAAACTTACAGGCATAGTTGGAGCAGATCTTGGATCATTTAGCCTAGCTTCTCAGGCCAGCCTTTTTTTTTTTTTAATTGGGATATAGTTGTTTTACAATGTTGTGTTAGTTTCTACTGTACAGTGGAGTTCCCTGTGCTATATAGCAGGTTCTTATTAGTTATCTATTTTATACATATTAGTGTATACATGTCAATTCTAGTCTCCCAGTTCATCCCACCCCTCTCCTCCTGCTTTCTCCCCTTGGTGTCCATATGTTTGTTCTCTACATCTGTGTCTCTGTTTCTGCCTTGCAGACCAGTTCATCCATACCATTTTTCTAGATTCCACATATATGCATTAATATACAATGTTTATTTTTCTCTTTCTAACTTACTTCACTCTGTATGACAGTCTCTAGGTCCATCCATGCCTCTACAAATGACCCAATTTCGTTCCTTTTTATGGCTGAGTAATATTTCATTGTATATATGCACCACATCTTCTTTATCCATTTGTCTGTCAGTGGACATTTAGGTTGCTTCCATGACCTGGCTATTATAAATAGAGCTGTAATGAACATTGGGATGCATGTGTCTTTTTGAATTATGGTTTTCTCTGGGTACATGCCCAGTAGTGGGATTGCTGGGTCGTATGGTAGTTCTATTTTTTTTTTTTTTTTTTTTTTTTTGCGGTACCCGGGCCTCTCACTGATGTGGCCTCTCCCGTTGCGGAGCACAGGCTCTGGACGCGCAGGCCTAGCAACCATGGCTCACGGGCCTATCCGCTCTGTGGCACGTGGGATCTTCCTGGACCGGGGCACGAACCCGTGTCCCCAGCATCGGCAGGCGCAGTCTTCAACCACTGCGCCAGCAGGAAAGCCCTATTTTTATTTTTTTAAGGAACCTCCATACTGTTCTCCATAGTGGCTGCGGGAATTTACATTCCTACCAACAGTGCAAGAGGGTTCCCTTTTCTCCACACCCTCTCTAGCATTTGTTGTTTGTAGATTTTCTGATGATCAGGCCAGCCTTTTCTGTACAAAATCCCAATATAGGATCGCTTGGCTTTGGCTGGAGCACTCCCAGTGATGCTTCTCCTTCAGCCTTAGAAGAGGCTGTGTCGTCTCATGGAACCACTAGCTCACCACCACCAACTAGCTATGATAAGCTTTGTATCAAAATGGAATTTAACCTTTTTTTTGATACTTAGTTTCCTTACCTACAGAGTTATGATGATACAGAATTATGATGATAATAGTTGTCTATAGGATTAAATAGGTTTAGGAGATAAAAGATAAATGCCATGAAAAACCAGTGATCATAACTCTTTATATTGAGCTGCATTTCCTTCTGTAACTGCCAGGTATTGTGTGGACCTTTGGAACAATACAGAATAAATTGGTTGCCTAATCTGAAACATAATTGAGAGATTTTCTTCACCACCAACCCCCCCCTTATATGTATAGTATAAGACCATGTGAATTGGAGCTATAGAACATAGACTCTTCTCTAATGTTTGCGGGTACCTCTTTTGATGTAGTGAAAGCTTGACAATAATGAGGGAGAAACATTTATTATGCCGTTTATCATCTAAATTTTCTCTAATATAGATATATTTATACAGCTATATTATATTTATAATGTAGTCAATTTATGAGAAACACTTGTATCTGAATTTAGGTATTTAGTCAAGACATTTATTCATTTTACATATTTGTGGAAGAAACCTAAAGTGTGTTGCCCTTAGCTTTTTGGCTGCCTTGCTGCCATGATCTCGGCATTTTAATTCCTGCCACTCAGTGGGAGGAGAGCAGAAGGCAGAACATTTGTGCCTCTCTTCAACTGATTATTGTCTCTGCCTCCGTGCTCTCCTTGCCTCGTGATGTCATGAAACCCAAGGATCAGATTAAGCAGGCAGTGCATGTGCCCCCAAAGCTTCTGTTCTGCAGGACACGTAACATCTTAATTCAGAATGTAAATGCCTAAGAGGAATCCCTTTGGGAAAGCAGGTAACTGATTTTTAGGAGTTCATCTGTTCTAGAAGAGGAAATATATTTGTGTGCTTGTTTTATTAGAATTATTCTTTGTGTTTTTTTTTCTTTTCTTTTCAGTCTCTTAGGCAGTTAGGGGATCAAATAGAATGGAAATTTGCACTGAATTGTACGGTCTTGGTGCATGAAGTATTTACAGTATAGTGTGCAGAAACAATTGTCATTTCCTGAAATGTTAGTGAAAGTGATTTAGACGGCTAGGCTAGGCAGGAGAATGAGATTTAATTTTTGTGTTTTGTTTGCCTCGCCTTGTTTGCTTTGGAATGCATTTCACTTTTTCCAGGCTGTGTTGTTATCCAGAGCTATAAAATAAAATGCTTTATTTTTAGGGCCTTTTCATCAGTGGTATCGTTGGGGATCGGCTTAATTTGCGATGGGTTCTGTCTTTTGGCATGTGCTCCTCTGCATTAGTGGTAAGTTGAAAGGTGTTATTCTTATTACTATTACTGTTGTCTCAGCCAGGTATTTTACCATCCAAGCAGTCCCCCACTTCTGTATATAGAGTAGAATAGAAAAATTAATCTTCAGTGTTCTAATCCCTTCTGTGCCTTTTCGCTTAGGTATGTCCTTAAAGTATGACTTCAGTCATGCCCCTTGCTTGATTCTCAGTCACCAGCAAAATCAAAGCATAACTTGCCTGGCATCCAGTGCCCCCGAGAACCTGGTCCCAGCCCGCCTCTACAGTCATGTCCTGTGCTTCACCTCTCTGCACTCCCACATCAAACTATCAATACCTTTTGTGGCCCTAACATATCCTGCTTCCTTCTACCTCACGGCTATCGTTCCTGCTGTTCTTCCTGCCTTGAATGCTCTCTGTTCAGCTCTTGATAGTATAACTCAGCGTCTCCTTCAAGTCATTGGCCAAATGACTCTTGTTTCATTATGCCTTACTTTACCAGCCCCACTCCCGGAAGTCATCCTTCCCTGTCCTGAGCTCCCGTGCCTGGATTTCTTTGAAGGCACTTCTCTTGTCTGCTGCTCAGCCTGCTTGTTTCTGTGTCGGTCTTGCTTTCCCTAGGAGCCTGCAGTGGGGTGATTAAGACCACAGACTTCCCCAGACCTGCACCGCCTGGGCTTCAGTCCTTCCCCGGGAGTTTCCAGCTATGGTTTCTGTGTGCTTTAGCCTCCCCTTTTGAATACCTCCACCTGGGGTTGCAGTGAGGGTTCTGTGTGTTACTATGTGTGGGGCATTTGGAACAGTGGCTGGTGTATTGAGTGCTATAGAGGGCAAGATCCATATTTGATTCATCTTTATTTGCTTACAAGCATCTGGTGATAAATTTTTGTTGATTGAATGAAAGCATGGAGTTTAGTTAGACTCTATTATTGTTTTTCAATGTCTGCCATTTGTGTATGGGGAAAAACTTCTTTTTCTATTTCAGAGATTGAAGCACTTTATTTATTCACAAGCTGCTCACCCACACATATATACATACTATTTTTAAACCTGTATACATACTTTCTTGTTTGTTTGTTTTTTTACGTTTTTTGAAAAATTGAAGTATGTACATAAACTCAATAAACTCACCCTTTTTAGTGTATACTCCTGAATTTTGACAAGTGAGTATAGTTGTGTAACTGCCACCCTTCCTTCTGCCCCCAGCCTCTGGCAGGCACTGACTGTTTTTCTGTCGTTATAGCTTTGCTCATTCCAGAATGTCATATAACTGGAGTCATACAGTATTAGACATACCAGTTTGAAACCCATGCCAAGTATTCCCGAAGGAGACTGACTACAAATAAAATGCCCACGCCGAGCAGAATGCCTGGAAAAAAGCAGTCCTTTGATGAATGCCACCAAATGATTGAGCCAATCACAAGTTACGCCAATGCACTTATTAGGCACGGTGTTAATAATAGCTGGCGCTTTCTGGTCCGCGTGATGTGCCTGGGCTGTTCTAACGATATTTAAACATGTGAAGTCAGGTAGTCCCCAGAGCTGTCTTCCATAAACAAGAGGAAAGGGAAATAATGTAAAAAGAGGTCCAACAATCGGGACTTAACCTTTTAGAGTTGAAGATGCAAGTTGGAAGAATGGTCCTCGCTGTGTTTTACGCTCTTTGCCATCTCTGCCTCTCTGGTGGGGGTGGTTTGGTGGTGGTCTCACTCAGCACTGCTCTGGGTGGGAGCATCTGAATAGTTGGCCACACGTCTCTCAGGCCCCAGACATTGACTGTATCTTTCACATAGGGTCTTTAGTCGGGGTGTCCACAAGGATGTTACATGTGTCTTTTTCTTTCTTCTTCTCTAAGGTGTTTGTCTTTGGCACTCTCACAGAATGGCTGCATTTCTACAACAAGGGGCTATACTGTAGCCTGTGGATCGTGAATGGCCTGCTGCAGTCCACTGGTTGGCCCTGCGTCGTTGCTGTTATGGGCAACTGGTTTGGGAAAGCTGGGTATGCCACTTCCTCCTCCTTTCATTTCTCTACTTAAGTAGTTTTAATATGGGATTGTTCAAGACTTGTTAGAGTCAATGCACTTGATCCCTTCGACACCACCCACGTCTTCCCTCTATTTTAGAAAGTTTAGAGCAGCCGGGAGAGGAGGTTTCATGTCAAAGTACATTGGAAGTAATGTGGACCCTAGATATGGTCTAGCCTGTGGGACTCATTCACAGCAGTCTCCTGGCCATGGTCAGATATTGAGTGTGGCTAAGGCCATACGTCTCAAATTTTTTTTTTTTAAATCTTCCCTTTAGAGAACATAAATAACACACCATAATAACAAATCTCACGTGCCATCTCATCATGTATCTTCCTGTGGGTTTTGCTTTCCCTTTTTTTGAGACTCAGTGATCTAGTTTAACCTTCTTAAAGATAAGGAAACTGAGGCCAGAAGTTATCCATAGGGCTTGCCCTAAGGTCACAGAGCAAAGGCTTCAAGAAGATGCAGATGGGGCTTCCCTGGTGGCGCAGTGGTTAAGAATCCACCTGCCAGTGCAGGTGACGCAGGTTCAAGCCCTGGTCCAGGAAGATCCCACATGCCGTGGAGCAACTAAGCCTGTGCGCCACAACTACTGAGCCTGCGAGTCACAACTGCTGAAGCACGCGCACTCTAGAGCCCATGCTCTACAACAAGAGAAGCCACCGCAACGAGAAGCCTGCGTGCTACATCAAAGAGTAGTCCCCCCCCCAAAAAAAAATAGTCCCTGCTCGCCACAACAAAAGAAAGCCTGCACGCAGCAATGAAGGCCCAACGCAGCCAAAAATAAATAAATAAATAACAAAAAATAAAGTTCCCTTTAAAAAAAAAAAAAAAGGAAAATGCAGATGAAGAATGCCAAACTTTGGGGCTTAGTTAAGTTGGCCATTTTTTCCATAAACCTTTAAGTACTTATCAGTTGTATGTGAGTTTGTGTGTGTGTGGCGGGGGCCATGGCTTGAGGATGGGCACCTACTGCCACTCAAGAAGAACCATACTTAATTTACAGGATAGGAAATAAATTGAGCTACCCAAAGACCTGGCTTTGTTGTTTATTGTTGTTTGTGGCACTCTGCCTTTGTTGTTTATCACTGTTTATGACACTCTGCCTTTAGGAATACTGTTAATTTGGATTTCTATCATTTGTCCTGGATAAATATTTATGTGTCGTGAGATGCACATTTATTTCATCGATGGCTCTATGTTTCTTGTTTGTTTACTCTTTTACGTAAGGACCAGTGTGCACAGCAGGCATTATCCACCCGCCGCAGTGATCAGTGCATGCTTTGACCAACTCCTCTCGGTTTTCCAGCTTCCCCAGTCTCATAGTAGGAGTAGAGGTGCTTGCTGGCTAATGATCTCTGTATTGTTGTGAAAGTTCACCTGTAAAATGCCTTGTGGTTAGAATCAGCACCGCTTAATGAGAATGCTCTGATTATGTTCAGTGTGCTAGTGATTTCCAGTTCTTTCCAACTCTAGTGTCACTGGTTTAACAGAATTGATTTTCGGAGGTACTCATTCCCCTGGGATACTTTAGTTTTCTTTTGGAGTAGGAGATGCTGTCTGCTTGTGTGTTGTTTATTTTTATTAAGATTTTTAACATAACTTCTTTCCAAGCGTGATTTTTGAAAATTATACAAAGGTTACTTGATTATTGTAACCAAACTAGATAATATAAATGAACATAGAGAAGTAAAGGTAAAACCACCTGAAATCCTGTCACTTCAAGGATAATCACTTTGACTTGTATAATTTTGAGATAATCCTTATCTGAACTTTTATAAATTGGGTGACACTTGGTGGTAGGTGGCAGTGACTGGGTAGGCTGACCTTGATTATTTCTCTGGCTCAGTCACAAATTCAAGAAAGCCATTACAGTTTACTTTCGAAAGTAAGACAGCTTGTTTTTAAGCAAATAACACTAGTAATTGAAATCAATGATGCATTGCCTGACACGCAGTGACTCTTCCTGTGAAATGTAACAATAAACCATGAAGTACCAATAAAACTATGATAACTTAAAGTCACAGTTGTTTTCAGCCAGTTTCTTCTGAAATCATGTCTTTGGTCAGCCAGTGTTATTCAGACCCTCTAGGACGCTCTTGGTAGGTTTGTGATCCACTGAGGACGTTGCCTTGGAAAGCTATTACCTTGGCTGAATCGTGTCCCTCCTCCCGTTGTTGGGGTCATAGTTTTTTAAAACACATTGAGGCAGGTAGTACTAGTAGGTACACCCTTGCAGGCCCAAACTGTCAACTCTGTCACTGCACTCATTCCTTTGAGGAGCACAGCGCTTTCCGGATGAGAGCCCTGAGCCTGGGCTGGGACTTGCTGGAGATCACCCAGCTGGAAGTGGCAGAGCTGGGACTTCTGAAAAGACTTTATTTTTCACTGTTAAATGTTGTCTACCTGTTCATTTCTAAGATTCCTTCTGTCTCAGTGAGGTTATAAAAACGTTGAAAGAGCTGAAGAACCTAGACCTAACACCGTGTGTTATTGATATGTATTAAGTAGAATAAAATACAAATTTTTTTTTTGTTGTTTGTTTGTTTGTTTTGCGGTACACGGGCCTCTCACTGTTGTGGCCTCTCCCGTTGCGGAGCAGAGGCTCTGGACGCGCAGGCTTAGTGACCATGGCTCACGGGCCCAGCTGCTCCGCGGCATGTGGGATCTTCTCGGACCGGGGCACAAACTCGTGTCCCCTGCATCGGCAGGCGGACTCTCAACCACTGCGCCACCAGGGAAGCCCACAAATTTATTTTTTAATATTAGTTTTAAAAATGTAACACATACATTTTTTAAAAAATAAATTTATTTATTTATTTATTGATTTATTTTTTGGCTGTGTTGGGTCTTTGTTGCTGCGCGCGGGCTTTCTCTAGTTGTGGCGAGCGGGGGGCTACTCTTCGTTGTGGTGCGCTGGCTTCTCATTGCGGTGGCTTCTCGTTGCGGAGCATGGGCTCTAGGTGTGCGGGCTTCAGTAGTTGTGGCACATGGGCTCAACAGTTGTGGCTTGCGGGCTCTAGAGCGCAGGCTCAGTAGTTGTGGTGCACGGGCTTAGTTGCTCTGTGACATGTGGGATCTTCCCGGACCAGGTCTCAAACCCGTGTCCCCTGCATTGGCAGGTGGGTTCTTAACCACTACACTACCAGGGAAGTCCTAATACACAAATTTAAACGTTAAAAAAATTAATTTTTCTTAACTGCTTTTTTTTTTTTTTGTCTTTTTCTTTTTTCAGCAGCCCTACTGCCATTGCCTATGTCCAGAGCTAGTTGTTTTTCTCCAGGACTGTTGTAATAGCTAGTTTCCCTTCCATAGACTCTTCATCCACATATCCATTTTTTTTTTTTGATGGCCTTATTGAGGTATACAATATGCTGCACATGTTCAAAGGGTACAGTTGGATGAGTTTTGGCATGCATGCACCTGTAGAAGTATCATCACAATTAAGATCATGACATATCCATCACTCCCAAAGTTTCCTTATGCCCCTTGGTAATTCCTCCCTCCCACTGCCGTCTCCAGTCAACCACTGATTTGCTTTCTGTCACTTTAATCTGAATTTTCTAAAATTTTATATAAATGGAATCACGCAGTATGTCTTCTTGACTGTGTTCTTCCACTCGGCACAGTAACGTTGAGGTTAATTCATGTCTGCATTCCTTTTTATAGCTGAGGAGTCATCCATTATATCACAATTTATCTGTTCACCTATTGGTGAACATTCAGGCTTTTAGTTTTCGGCTTTTACTAGTAAAGCTACTGTGAATATTTGTTGATGTATCCTTGTATGGACATATGCTTTCACTTCCCTTGGATACATACCTTGGAGTAGGATGGCTGGATCATATAATAGGGGTGTGTTTATCTTTTTAAGAAACTGGCAATTTCTTCTAAAGTGGTTGAACCATTTTACATTCCCACCAGCAGAGTATAAGGATTCTAGGTGCTATACATCCTTGTCAACACTTGGTATGCTCAGTGTGTTTTGATTTTAGCTATTCTAGTAGGTGTGTAGTGATACCTCCTTGTGGTTTTAATTTGCATTTCCCTAATGTCTGATGATGTTGAGCATCTTTTCATGTGCTTATTTGCATCTTATTTATTTTTAATTTTTTTAATTTTTTGGCTGTGTTGGGTCTTCGTTGCGCGCAGGCTTTCTCTAGTTGCAGTGAGCGGGGGCTATTCTTGGTTGCGGTTCATGGACTTCTCATTGCAGTGGCTTCTCTTGTTGCGGAGCATGGACTTTACGCGCGTGGGCATCACTTGTTGCAGCACACGGGCTCAGTAGTTGCGGCACACGGGCGCTAGGGCGCACGGGCTCAGTAGTTGTGGCTTGCGGGCTCTAGAGCACAGGCAGTTGTGGCACACGGGCTTAGTTGCTCCGTGGCATGTGGGATCTTCCTGGACCAGGGATTGAACCCGTATTCCCTGCATTGGCAGGCGGATTCTTTTTTTTTTTAATATAAATTTATTTATTTATTTAATTTATTTTATGGCTGCATTGGGTCTTTGTTGCTGCACTCAGGCTTTTTCTAGTTGTGGTGAGCGGGACTACTCTTCGTTGCAGTGCACGGGCTTCTAATTGCGGTGGCTTCTCTTGTAGCGGAGCATGGGCTCTAGGCACGCAGGCTTCAGTAGTTGTGGCACGTGGGCTCAGTAGTTGTGGCTTGTGGGCTCTAGAGCGCTGGCTCAGTAGTTGTGGCGCACGGGCTTAGTTGCTCCATGGCATGTAGGATCTTCCCGGACCAGGGCTCAAACCGTGTCCCCTGCATTGGCAGGCGGATTCTTAACCACTGCGCCACCAGGGAATTCCGCATCTTATTTTTTTTGTGTGTGAAGTATTTATTAAAATCTTTTGCCCCTTTTTCAGAAACTTTGTATTTGAGATTATTGTAGATTTATACTCTTTAACATTTTATTGCATTGTCTATTTTTCACCTTATTGAGTTTTGAGAGTTCTTTATATTCCAGTGACAAGTCTTCTGTCAGATAAATGATATCCAAATAGCTTCTCCCAATTTGTGGCTTGTCTTTTTAAATTCTCTTAATGGTGTTTTTCAGTGAGCCCCAAATTGAACTTATAATAAAATCTTAGAGTTAGAAGAGACCTACCTGATGTTTTGCCATTTGGGTGTACTTTAAAAAAACGTTAAAGTAGAATATTGATTCTTTGTAATGCGAACCTGCACTATTTTGGCCATTTTGTATTTGAACTGCACATAAAATCCCTTCTGATTCTATTGTCTTCTGTTTTGCACTGTTCCCATCATAGACGAGGAGTTGTTTTTGGTCTCTGGAGTGCCTGTGCTTCAGTGGGCAATATTTTGGGAGCATGTCTAGCTTCTTCCGTTCTGCAGTATGGTTATGAGGTAGGTGTTTCTTTCTAGCTTTTTCTTGAGTATATAAATATATTTTCTATTTTAGGAAATAATCCTGTGACCATTTAAAATGACCTAGAGCTATGTCTGGGTGGGGCAAGGTTTGTATTAAGAGTGGACAAACTCTTGGTAAATTCAAACACGTTAAAAAATTAGTCATGGAAAAACAACCAAATCTAGAAGACATATCGGTTGGGGAAAAGTATTTGCAACTCATGTTACAGATAAAGAGCTAATTTCCTTAATATATAAAGAATGCCCACAAATTGATAAGAAAAAGACGAACACACAGAAAGAAAGGTAAAGGATTTGACTCTGTAGTTCATGAAAAGGAAATAGAAATGGCTTGTAAACATACGGCAGGGTATTCCACTTCACTCAGAATTTATTCCTTCATTCAGTAAATATTTTTAAGCTCCTCTAAGTGCCCCAAGGCAGTAAAGAATAGAGCCCTGACCAAGAGACAAAAATCTCTACCCTTATGGAGTTTAGGTGTAGTCGGCAGAGAAATGCAAATTAAAACTACACTGTAAAAAAAAAAGAAAAGAAACGACACTGTATACTTATTATATTGGTAAAAACCCCAAAGCTTGGTAACATGTTTATGAGGATGTGACAAAACAGGCATTGCAGATGGGAGAGTAAATAACCCCTCTTGGGGTCAGTATGGTCTATCAAAATTATAATGGCTCTCACCAAGCAGTTCCACATCTGTGAATTAATCCCATTGGTGAATATACTTCAGCATGTACAGAGAGATACATCTACAAGGTTATTTACTTCAACATTATTTGTAATAGCAAAAGATTGGTAACATGTCAACCAAAAGGGAAATAGTTACACTAAGGAACTCCTATTCAGTGGAATGCTGTGCAGCTGTGAAATAGAATTATGCAGCCCTAATGTCCTGACAGGGAAACAGCTCAATGGTGTGTTAAGTGAAGAAAGCAAGGGTGCATAACCGTGTGTGTTGAATGCTGCCATTTGTGTGAAATGGAGGAAGAATTAAAGAGTATCTATTGTATTGGCTTGTATGTTTCCAAAACAATCTCTGCAAAGTAAAAATGAAATAACAGTGCTTATATGTGGAAAAATGAGAATTGAATGGCTGGGAGAAGGGATGGGAGGGAGGGTTTAACTATACATCTTCTACTTTTTGTTACTTGAATCATTGTCAACCTATTGCCTGTTCAAAACCCTAATAATTAAAAGTAAATTGCTCTTTTGAAAAGTAAATTGCTCTTTTGAAAAGCAGCAGATACATTTTTAAGCTGCTCACCAAGTGTTTGGTCCCTGAAGAATTCTGGTCTAGTTAGGGCCAGTGGGAAGTCCTTCCTGTGTTCACATTCACCTTTTCCCAGGTTTCTTAGCTTCACACCTGGATTGTACTAATTGGCTCAGATGGGAATTTCAGTTCGCCCTACGTGCTGCTCCCAGATTTGACTTCTGGCAAAACTAATTTTGTCACCTGTCTCTCTGCATCAGGCTCCACTCTTAAATAAAATAATATTCAGCGATGCAGCCTGGCTCTTGAGTCTTTCATCTGGATAGCACCTTTCCAAGTCAGTGTTCTTCCCTGTTACCCCCAGCAGAAGCCCTCAGCTCCCACCATGCAGAAGGCTTTCCATCTCCCTCCCACCTGGTGCCTTTGCCTCAGCCGTGCCAGGAAAGGTGGTCAGTTGCTATGATTTTCAGCTGCTCCCTAAAGCATTGTCTCCCTCCTTCAACCTCTTTAGCTGTTTCCTTCTTCTGAATTCAGTTCCTCTGTTTGTTTCCTATTAGGACTGGGCCTTCTCATTTATCAGCTACATGCTGCCTTATACTATTATTTTGTGTACTGTTTAATCCTCTCAACTGGAAAATATCTTTGAGGGCAGATACTGTCTTTTGTAGGAGGCCGAGTAGTGTAAGGATTATTACTTTTGGAGCTAGTTCTGATTTCATGATCGTAATAGTACCACTCAGTGTCCCGTGGACCTCAATTACCCTGAGTCCCATAGAGTCACTGGGAAAAACTTGTGAGAAAAACACAAGTAAAACACTTAGCTCAGTGCCTGGCACAGGCTAGGCGCTCAGCGCTCATTTCCTTTCCAGTCGCCCTGTCCTCCCCCCGTGTGCCTCTAATGAATGTGCCTTTAATGAGCATCTCAGATGCGTCAGGAACACCTTTCCCTTCCCCCTCCAGTATGCCTTTCTGGTGACGGCGGCTGTGCAGTTTGCTGGTGGGATCATCATCTTCTTTGGACTCTTGGTATCACCCGAAGAAATTGGTGAGAAGCTGCTCTTCTACTCAGAACGTCTTACTATTATAGGCAAAGAGAAACCTGTGGCCAGAACAGCCTATCTCTTTCTTCCTAGGAGAACTGTGAGCTCCTTTCAGTGAATGCAAGGAGCAGTATTGCTGTTTGTATCCTGTTGACACTGCGGCCTCTCCTGGCACAGCTGCAAATGTTTGAGGCAGTGAGGCTCACCTTTTTATAGATTCAGGGAAAACTCATCATTTGCAAATGGGTTTTATAATGGAGATGCTGGCTAGAAATTAGCATGGATGTATTTCGAATTTCACTTCTTGAGACAGATTTCTTTTCCTTCATAAAAATAATTTAGTGTGATACTTATCTGTGGTTAAATACAGAACGTGTACAAGTGAAACCACAGAAGCAGATAGATGTATGATTCTTCTATCTTTTGAGTATACTAAAGAGACATGTCAGTTTAAGAGCACGTAATTAATGGTGTTTTTGGTATTATGTAAGAGAGATACTGTGATGTAGCTGAAAAAGCTTTGCTTTGAAGCCAGGTCAAGGAGAATTAGAGGCCTGGGTTTGTGGCTCATTAGCTGTGTGACCTTAATTGACCTTGGACTCTGAACCTTAGTAGCTTCTTCTGTAAAATGGAAATAAAGATAACATGGACCCCGTAAGTAATGATGCATGCAAAGCACTTAGCCCAGTGCTGGGCACCTGGAGGGCCCTCTGTAAACATGGATGTCACTCTTGTTGTAGGTCTCCCAGGTATTGAGGCCGAAGAAAATTTTGAAGACGACTCACACAGGCCATTGATTAGTGGTGCTGAAAATGAAGATGAAGCTGAGCCTAATTATTCAATCCAAGAAGACAAGACTATTACCCAAGTCAAGGCGATAAGCTTTTACCAGGCTTGTTGCCTTCCCGGAGTTATAGCGGTAAAGCCTGTTCAAATCTCCTTACCACAGCCAGTGAGATGTTATAGCCGGGATAGTAACTCTGCCTGGGATAAAGCATCTTGAAGTATTTCGCTTCTCTCTGAGACTTTATTTTAGGAATATATGTTCAGAGGAATAGTGAATATTGGCCCTCAGCTTGTTTCTGTATTGGCACCACTTGAAGTTTTATCTGAAATCTAATGCAGGGTTTGGCAAAACCTTTTCTGTACAGAGCCAGTTAGTAAATGTTTTCAGCTTTGGGGGCACCATACAGTCTCTGCCACAATCGCTCAACTCAGTAGAGGAAAGGAGTCCATGGACGATACGGAACAAATGGGCCTGGCCGTATTTGGCCCGTGAGCTGGAATTTGCTGACCGTGGTCTAGCCTTCGAGTAAGAAGGCAAAATTGATATTTTAAAATATATACCTTTTGGCCTGTTGAAGTCTTATAGAATTATAAATAGCCCAAGAGAGGTTTGAGTGGTTCGTTAGGTCTGTTTGATTTGCCTATATCCTTACTATTCTAGGGGAAGAAAAGTTTTCCCTTCTGTTAAAAGTCCAGAGCAGAATACTCCACAGCATTTCCTGGTAATGCATTCCAGTGTTTCCGCAACCTTTACAGTTAGGTTTTTTCCTAATGTCTGAACTGAAGCCCTTCTGCTGCAGTTTTTCTGTCTTGGTGTTTCGGGCGCTCTAGCATAGGAGTGGAAGTTAAGAGGCCTAGGTTATGTTGCCAGCTTACCCATTAACTAGGCCTGGGGTAAGTCACTCAGCCCGTCCTCGTGTCTCAGTTCCCCTTCCTATGGACAGAAAGCCTACCAGTCCTCCCTGGAGTCTGTAACACTGGGTTATTGTATTGTGAATAAGCACCTTTTTTATTTTATTGTGTAATGGTGCTTTATGAACGTAACCCGTCAGTAAATTCAGAGTCTGCAGGTTGTCCTATTTCATACTTTCCAGTTCCCTTCTACCTGCCCCCAAGCTAAGAGAACTGACATTTACAAACAAGATAGTTTAAGCGTGAGTTAAAATTTAAGTGTAAGTTCCCACAAGTCTTCAACCAAAATATGATGTGTAATACAAGGGAAATGCAAGTTCCTTTGGACCTGTTCTTATGCTAATGATCAGTATTATTTAAAGTAGTTATTAAAATGTTCTGCTGGTAATAGGTTAATTTCTGAGACAGAACTTAGATTTGTTGTGACTAAACGTGGCCCTCTTTTGCTATTGCTTTGTGTTTCACAAGCTATTGTTCCCTGCCACGGGCAGGGTGTAAAGGAAATCCAGTTAACTTAATTCCTTTGTCTTTGTGGCAGGCTGTCTGGACAAAATGCACTCATGATTGGGATTTGGCTCTCTAGGGGGTGGCTGCTGCCCTGCCTGGGAAGCTGCTTTAAAACAAGTGATACCTAGGGAATAACTGGCAGCTCCAGGGAAAAGAATATACTAGCCAGACACCCTTTGAAGTCAGTCTCTCTGTTCCTCCCCCTTTTTCCTTTGATGCTAAATGTCAGGATTTCCTGGTAATAATGTGTTGAATATAGGATTCTCAGCCCCGCTGCCATCTTAAGGCAGCTGTAACTTTCATTCCTCAACCTAGAGCCACAAGACCCATGACGATCCTGTTCTTTCACTTTTGACTCAAAGCTTGTGGAAACTACAGCGTGGAAGTAGTTTTCATGTTGATGCTTTTCTTAAGACCTTGGAACCGTAGTCCGGTCCCATTGCTTTGCATTGTCCATAATGTTAACTTCACAGGAAGTAGAGCCAAAAAAGTCTGGCTGCTTGCAATAAAGGCTGTGATGTTACTGGATTTGTTTGCGTATGGTTAGTGCTAGTCAGTGGCATGAATACCTTTTATCTTTATCCATATAAAGAAATATGAGTATGTGCCCTGCCTTGCAGGTTCAAAACACTGGTTTGCTTCTACCAGAGAACTGAAAGAAGAAAGTGGGGGGACAATTAAGGAGTAGTCCTATGTGTTTTTTATCCCAAGGCCTACTGTACTGCCTTTCTAGACGCTAAGGGGGGATGAAGAGAAGAGGGAGACTGGGTAAAGTCAGGCAAATAGGAATTTGTAGAAACGTTTAATTTGAAAATCAGGTACTATTCGCCCCATACTCCTCTGTTTTGTTTTGTTGTTTAATTACATTTACATGGTAGTTATGTTGTGCCGTTTGTTCCTTACTGGTAGTTGGATGTTTTTCCCTATAGTATTCACTGGCCTACGCCTGCTTGAAGTTAGTGAATTACTCCTTCTTCTTCTGGTTGCCCTTTTATCTGAGTAATAACTTCGGATGGAAGGAGGCTGAAGCCGACAAGCTGTCCATTTGGTACGATGTTGGAGGAATTATAGGTAAGGCCAGTGATACATCTTTTTCTGTAATAAGAATTAGTCACTAGTCATATTTTACTGGGTTATGAAATCTGGCATCATTTAAAGTTTTATTACTTATTCCACAGCTATTTTTCTTAAACTGTCCTACGAGTAAATAGCCAAACTCTTAAAAAAAAAAAGTCCTCAGAAAAGAAGCCCTGGCCTGTGGCAGCCCTGCGATTTACAGGGCTCTTTTTCCCAGTCCTTTGTTGATGGATCAGTTCTTTTGTCTTGGGAAGTGCAGGGATGTCTCTCTCTGATCCCTTTAAGTGTAACCCTTTTGTACACTTTCAGCGATAGCTTAGCTGTAAAGCAAATTGTATGTCAGACATTCAAGTTAGGATGTGAATGTGTTCATTTTATATAGCACACCGCAGCCAAAGAAGGGAAACATACTAGCTTAGTGTATTGATTGTCAGATCATAAAGGTAGGAATAATAGCAGGGATTAATTTTTTTGTTTTGCAGTTGCTTCATTGTACACAGCAGATTTTTTTGTTTGTTTGTTTTTTTGCGGTACGCGGGCCTCTCACCGTTGTGGCCTCTCCCGTTGCGGAGCACAGGCTCCGGACGCACAGGCTCAGCGGCCATGGCTCACGGGCCCAGCCGCTCCGCGGCATGTGGGATCCTCCCAGATCAGGGCACGAACCCGTGTCGCCTAGCATTGGCAGGCGGACTCTCAACCACTGCGCCACCAGGGAAGCCCCACAGCAGATTTTAACAGTGACCTTTTGTTCTAACTGGAAGTGTAAACAAGGAAGTAGGAAACTTTCAAATCAGACAGATGTACAGGTTGCATGTTAGTGGGTACTGCTTACATGGCTATGGCAGAACCTTAATATCCTTTCTGTAATGTTTACATTTAGAAGTGTGGGAAGCCTAAACTTCCCTGAGCGCATGAAAGCACAGTATATCCTTAGGTGATATACTGTTGCTGTATTTGAACTTGGGTGCCCTTGTTCTTAGATCCAGAGCCAAGGTGAGGTTGCTGCCTTTAGACCTGCACGTACTTCTGATGAGGGTGTACCAGGTGTCCCATTGCCCCTAGACTCCAAGTAGGAATGCATCTAAATGTGACTGTGTTGCTTCAAGGATCCACATCACTTCTTTTAAACGTCTTGACCTATTAGTTATTACCAAACCATGATTGCTGCACTTAATTTTAGTGAATATTTATGTTCACTACTACTAATAGCTGATGAAGCACAGTCCTTAATTAATTATCTTTTAAAATAAAAAGCAGGAAAAGCCTTCACAGCTGGTTGGAGAAGCAAAAACAGCAAGGAACAGTGGGGTAGTTTTGATGATTTTCCCTTATTTGTGGTGTCCCGTCCCCATCAGCCATCATGGCAGTTAATAGTCAGGTAACCTTTCTGAAAGGAAATTACGGAGGAAATGTTTTAGGAGAGCCAGCTCTCTTTTTGGATGGACCAGTGTTAGGATCCTGATCGCAGGTGGAGGGTATGTGGTAAGCAAGAGTCAGGTAACTGAGCTAAATTAGACATGTTGATTGGGTTGCACTCTTTGTGCTTGAAGGTGGAACTCTGCAAGGCTTCATCTCTGATGTGCTACAGAAGAGAGCCCCGGTGTTAGCTCTCAGTCTGCTTCTGGCCGTCGGCTCCCTCGTTGGATATAGTCGTGAGTATTCCCTTGCAATTAAACTGTTTTCCTCATCTCTTAGGACTAAGGCATTTATTTGCCTTGAGTCAGTGATCAACCCTGGGGGGATAGTTGAGACCAGCCACAAAGGCATAATATTGGACCTTTGTATTGTCCTGTAAATGCCGCTAAAAGTATCACATAGTTTTATTTGTGTTGGGGAGGAAACTGGCATCTCTTCTGCTTTGTTGGTTTGTTTAAAAGCTTGCTTGGGAGTGTATATGCTTTGTTCAAGGGTAGGCTCCAGAGTGGCAGCATTAGAGCCAATAAAACAATAAAAGGGACAAGATTTCAAAAGAGGAAAGATGGTAATTAGGTTTGGTATATGTCCCTTAAGATGCTGCTGAGATAGAAGCAGAGTTTTCCTGTAAGCTTTTAGAAGTCACATTAGCTTGAGCACCAGCAAGAAGCAGACATTACAAATAAAAGCTGGGGGAGGTGGTGATGGAGCTGTATGCGCTTGTATCCCTGGGAGCGATCTGTGAGGTCACGGAGATCCAGGCGCAGATCTGTGTGTACTGTTGGGTGGAGGCACACGTAATGCGCTCCTCAGATCGTTGTTCTGTGTGTGTCTCCTCACAGGTTCTCCAAATGATAAGTCCATCAATGCGCTTCTGATGGCTGTCACAGGTATGGCATAAGCTCCATTTCACTGTACTGTTTCTCTGTAAGGAAAAAGGAAAAAAGGAAACTGATTTCTCCTTCAATTTGAGTAATGCTAAAATCACAATTATAGAGAACTCAGAAGGTAAAAAGGAAAGATGCCTCCTTCAGATTCTACTTCTCTGCTCTCGTGTGACCTCCTCAGTCCTGTCGTGACAGAGGCAGTCCCTTTTGACAGAGGTTTCCTAAGATTTTTGATTGCTGCCCCGCCCGCTCATGTTACTTGCGGAAGTGGCTTAGGAAGATGCCGCATTGGAAACCAATTCACCAGCCTTCAAAAGGTCCAGTATAGCTAGTTTTTCCTCCTGTGTTGGAATTGGTCAGAATTTCTTCACTTGAGCCCCAGGTGAAACAATTCGGTGCAATTAGCGACCGTGTTATAGAAGAATTCTTATTTTTCAACTTGAGATCATAGGATGGTGGGAGCTGCTCCTGCTCTATGAGGCACGTGGGACTGATGCAGCCTCATGGACAGAGTCACATGGGCCAACTCCTGCTCAGTCCTTGGACAGCCTCACCGTGAGCAGTGGCCGATGGAACCCCCTACACCGCTGAAATCGCTTTTTCTCCTCTCTTTTTTTTCAATACGTTTGGTTGAATTTGGGCAGTCAGATGCTCTGCGCTGCACCTCTACCATAAGAGAATTTGACAAGCTAGTGCAGTTAGTTGTCAATGCATGCGCACTTCACAGGATTAGAAAGCTGTGTGTTCACTCTATTTTCTAGAGAAAAGTGGATGCTAACTAGTTTGAAGATGTTACTATCTGGGGGAGTTTCCATTTTTATTGGTTATTTTTTTCCCCTCTTTTTGTTTCTCTCCAACATACTGATCGGAGTATTGGGATTAAGAGTTTGCTTTATTCAGTAGATTCCTAGTGTTGTTACAAATAGTGTCTTAATAAGAACCTGTTCTGTTTATGACTTCAGGATTTTTTATTGGTGGACCTTCTAATATGATTAGCTCTGCTATTTCTGCGGACCTGGGTCGTCAGGAGCTGATCCAAGGCAGCACTGAGGCTTTGGCGACCGTCACAGGAATAGTTGATGGAACCGGGAGCATTGGAGCTGCGGTAGGCCAGGTGAGAGAGCAGGGGAGGGCTTGACATGGAGTGCTCAGCAGTTCTTCAGCGGTGGAAGAGTTTACCCCACCCTCTGGGCCACAGTAGGGTGGCACTCTTGTGCTGTAGTGCACTGTACTGAAAGCCTTGTGTTTTTAGTCTTTGAGGTCCAGCTGATGTGACCTAATGTGGAAGGTTGCTCTACATTTATCAGTTCCTTCTTTCCACTTTTACCTCCAGATTCTTCCTGTCTGAAAAGAAGCTAACACCTCATAAGACAGATTCTCCAGTCCCAGCCCGCCACCCCTTTCTTCCAGCCTGAACTTGGCACTCCAAGGAGGCCATGAGACACATGCTTCTCATTACCCCACACCTGACATGCAGGCCCTACCTCTGTCCCCCTACCAGACACACACACGTACACACATTCTTCCCATGGATCCCTGCCAGAAATTGCCATGGACTCTGCAGCTGCCCTGAGTCGCTTACTCTGCTTCCTACAACTGTGTCTCAAAAGGCGGTTCATAAATGTCTTATGCCAGAATCATCTGGGGGTTCATTAAAGTACTGAACACTAAGCTTACTGTAGACTTGCTGAGTGAGAGCCTGGGGATCTGTATTTCAGCAAGCCTTCCTGGCGATTCTTACGCACTCTGAAGTTTGAGATCTTCTGGGCTAAGATTGGCCTACTCTAGGTAATCAGAACTATTCAAATCGATCCTTTTTGCTTACATTCAGCTTCAGAAAGGCATCCCTTCTCTGGGACAGTCATGAGTCATGCCTCGCCTAGGGTATACTACTCTAGGTCATTGCAGAATGTGGATTTTGCAAAATGTGGATTTGAGAATCAACTGCATGGATAAAATGGTTGAAACCGTGGAAGTGATGTGATGTTTAATGGGGAAAGAAAATATAGGCAAACCCTCAGAGGATGCCCAATGGTCACAGAAACAGGAAGCCAGAATTTGAGGAGGTGTGTTACTCAGATCATAGAGGTAGAGAGGTCAGGAGAAAGAGAATGGAAGGAAAAAGGCTTGTAGTTTTGACATTGAGGTCATTAAATGGCCTTGAAGATTGCTGCTTAATGGGAGTGGATCAGTGGTATCCGATTGCTAGTGGTTAATGCAAGAGCAAATACTGAGGGAGATAAACCATCTTAGTGCTGGTCTCCACCCAGCCATATATTACACATTTATTTGTTAATGTCTGTGTCTCCCACTGTAAGGTGAGCTTCACGAGGGCAGCATTTTATTTGTTTTGTGTTCTACTGTAGCCCTGGTACCAGGAACGGTACCAGGAATGGTGCCTGGCACACAGTAGACATTCAGATATTTGTGGAATGATTGTAGAATGAGTGATTTATAGGATCAGTGTGTTAGCATATTTGATTCTGAGACTAAAGGAAAAACAAACTTAGCAAAGGTAGGAGAAATTTGTCCTGGAGTAGGAACTAAAAAAAATGCTATTGGCCACCTGTTCAGATGTCTTCATATAAGGGGTATTGGGCATCCTTTTCTGAAATTACTGTATTTTAAGTTTTCCTTCCCAACTAATGTTTTCTTCATTAATCAAATGGGTAGATTGTAATTAGCATTTCAAGGAGTTTCTTTTTATTTAGAATGCCTGCCAGTGTTACGATCCCTATCTGTGAACATGGGTCAGCATTAGGTTGACTTTCATGGTTTGGGAAGCAGGACCAGGACCAAAGCATAGCTAGCTTTACTCATTCCCCCGCCATGTTGATTTTTGAATGATTTTCTATTGCTTGAGGTATGAAATCCCAAACTCCATGACTTAATAGGGACTTAATAAAGCCCTTAGAAGGAAACATAGGGACGACGCCTCATGACAGATATACACCAGTGGTCAGTAAGCACCTGAAAAGATTCTCAGCATCCTTAGGGAGATGCAAAGCAAAAACATGAGCTACCACTTGACACCTAATGGCTGTAGTTAAAACAAAACAGAGTAACAGGTGTTGGTGAGGATGTGGAGAAATTCACATACAGTGCTGGTGGGAATGTAAAATCGTGCAGCTACTGTAGAAAACACTATGGTGGTTCCTCAAAAAGTTAAACATAGAATTACCATATGACCCAGCAATTCCACTCCTAGGTATGTTGTACCCCAAAGAATTGAAAACGGATTCAGATATTTGTTTACCGATGTTCACCACAGCGTTATTCATAGTAGCCAAAAGGTGGAAACAACTCAAGTGTCCGTTGATAGATGAATGGATAAACAAAATGTGGTATATCTATGCAATGGGATATTATTTAGCCATAAAAAGGAATGGAGTTCTGATACATGCTACAACATGAATGAACCTTAACAACATTATGCTAAGTGAAATAAGCCAGACACAAAAATATTGTGTGATTCTACTTAACATGAAATATCTTGAATGGTAAATTCATAGAGACAGAAAGCAGATTAGAGTTTATCAGGGGCTGAGGAGAGGGGCCATGGAGAGTTCTTGCAGAGAGTTAACGGGTGCAGAGTTTCCGTTAGGGGTGATGAAAAATTTTGAAAATAGGTAGTGGTGATGGTTGTGCAACATCATAAATGTATTTGATGCTGCTGAGTTGTACACTGAAAGATGGTTAAAATGGCAAGCTTTATGTTACATGTATTTATTTTTTAAAAGAGCATGGGTTAAAAACTATTGGATACCTTTTATTAATTGAAAATAAAAGAATGTGCTGTAGCGTGTCAAAGTCATACAGTAATCCTATGAGCAAATAGTGTAATTGAAAAATGAGTGGTATACTTAAAAGACAAACTTAAAAAAAAATTTTTTTATTTATTTATTTATTTATTTGGCTGCATCGGGTCTTAGTTGCAGCATGCGAACTCTTAGTTGTGGCATGTGGAATCTAGTTCCCTGACCAGGGATCGAACCCAGGCCCCCTACATTGGGTGCGGGGAGTCTTAGCCACTGGACCACCAGGGAAGTTGCAGAGACGAACTATTTTTAAAAGCATCAATTATAGTACCATTCACTGGAAGAAGGACTGATTAAGTGGAAGTGACTTGAGGCTGTTCATCATCCTCTCTTAATTTTTTTTTATAAATTTATTTATTTTATTTTATTTATTTTTGGCTGTGTTGGGTCTTCGTTGCTGCACACAGGCTTCCTCTAGTTGTGGCGAGTGGGGGCTACTCTTCGTTGCAGTGCATGGGCTTCTCACTGAGGTGGCTTCTCTTGTTGTGGAGCATGGGCTCTAGGTGCGCGGGCTCAGTAGTTGTGGCACATGGGCTTAGTTGCTCCATGGCTTGTGGGATCTTCCCGGACCAGGGCTCAAACCCGTGTCCCTTGCATTGGCAGGTGGTTTCTTAACCACTGCGCCACCAGGGAAGTCCCCATCATCCTCTCTTAATAGAAAAGTGAAAAAAAATATACCTCCTGAACTTGTGCCTTCTGTTACACAGATTTTGGACTGTGCCAGCTTACCAAATGAAGGGTGTCAATAAAGCTTAAATAGGAGCATGTATATGCAAGAGCTCTGCAAACTGCAAAACATTATACAAATCCTAACTCCTTTTTATTTTCTAGAAGAGATATGTTTAATCTACTTTTTTAAAAAAAATTATTTATTTTATTATTTATTATTTTTGGCTGCATTGGGTCTTCGTTGCTGCGCGTGGGCTTTCCCTAGTTGTGGTGAGCAGGGGCTACTCTTTGTTGCAGTAGTACTTTTTGAAGCACGGGCTTCTCATCGCAGTGGCTTCTCCTGTTGTGGAGCATGGGCTCCAGGCGCACGGGCTTCAGTAGTTGTGGCTCGTGGGCTCCAGAGCACAGACTCAGTAGTTGTGGCGCACGGGCCTAGTTGCTCTGCGGCATGTGGGATCTTCCCGGACCAGGGCTCAAACCCGCGTCCCCTGCGTTGGCAGGCGGATTCTTAACCACTGCGCCACCAGGGAAGCCCTAATCTACTTTTTAGCTACTTCAGTTTATTATTTTATAAAGGATTATATTGTGATTTCTTTTTCTCCCTTTTAGTATTTAGTGTCTTTGATCCAGGACAACCTAGGATGGATGTGGGTTTTCTACTTTTTCATTCTTATGGTAAGTGTGTGCCCTTTTTGTTTTTTTTAAACTAGTAGTTTTTAAATTAAATTAGTTCAAAGCATTTACTTAAATCACTTTTTTTACACGCAAAGTAGTTTTTTTTGGTTGAGGAATAATTGACTTAAAATAAATTGCATATATTTAACAAGTAAAATTTCGTACAGTTTAACATATGTGCATGCGTGTCTGTGAACCCATCATCCCGATCAGGACAGTAAATGTATCCATCACTCCCAAAAGTTTCTTCATGGCCCCTGTGTAATCCCTGTCTCTTGCCTCTCCACCATCCCACCTCTCTCCAGGTAACTACTGATGCACTTTCTGTTGCTATAGATAAACTTGCGTTTTCTTGAGTTTTATATACATGGAATCATACACTATGTATTTTTGTCTGCTTCTTTCCTTCAGCATAATTATTTTGAGATTCATCCATGTTGTTGCATGTATCAGTAGTTCATTTCTTTTTATGGTTAAATCACTTCTTAAACCAACAAAATTGCTGACCACTTTTAAAGATTCTTTCGTGAAAAGTAACATTTTATTATTCTGAAAGACACATTCATTTTTCAAGGAAGGAAAGGGCTGTTAGTTTGCCCTTGACCTGAGTCTAATGAGTATTGTCATTTATAATTCCAGAAAAAATGAAGAGAGACTTATACCCCCAACCATTAATCAGGGTACTCTTCCAGAGTACTCTCTGTCTGCTAAATATAATTTGGGAATTCTGAAGGAAATGTGTATGCCAAGCCACATAGGGTTAAAAAAGAAGCATTGCTGTAATTAACACTGTGGTGTGCAAGTTCTAAAATGAACCTCGAGTCTCTTGAGAAAATATCTGTTGTGCCTTCGACATTCTTGGCTGGAACTCTGTACTTTCTGGGAAACAGCCAACACAGAATAAGGCCTTGTGCTTTTAAAACATTGCTCTCTTTTGAATAAGCATGTGACATACTCTTATCACATATTGAGACGGTGCTCAAGACAGGTCTACTTGAGAGTCTGGTGATGGCTTCGTCCACCAGGGGATGCATTCAGTATCCTGTCCCTAAATCTAGGGCATCCTAATTGGAGGCAGCCTCCATTGCCCAAGTCTAGATGCTGTCCTCCAGCCTATCCAAGGAGCCTTTGGGATAGCTCAGCACCTGGAATCCCCTGGAGCTGCCTTAAGGCTTATGTACTCTGCTATCACAAAGGATGCTTTCTTCTGCCTGAGTGCTCTCCAGCTTCTACAGACTGGGCCGTATAACTCGGTCATCTACTTCTGAGTAGAGGGAAGTATCTCCTGATGAACCTGTTGGTGTGATCATGCTAGAAATGTAATAGAAAGAAAACGGAATCTGTTAGAAGAAACACTGTTTAAATCTGAGCTCCAGTATCAATTTTCTGCCCTACCTATGAGTTATTTAATCTGTGTACCTTAGTTCTTTTTTTGGAGACTGTAATGTAACATTAAGTATTTTGTAATATTAACTGTAATTTTCAAAATCATTTTCTAATTCATTAAAGATTGAGTTGTCCTTGTACGAAGTCAAAAAGAATGTAATTGTCCAAATTCATTATTATGTTCAAAACATGATGCTCTAACAGAATTAATTAACTTGTCACTGCATGTTCAATGCTTTTTTCTCTTCACAGACAAGTTGCACAATTCTATTTATTTCACCATTAATAGTGAGGGAAATATGCTATCTTATGCAAAGACGAGAAGCTCGCATATTGAGTGGGTGACTGGTGCCCACAAAAGAACAAGAATAATAGGAGACACATCAGGACTATTTCTTTTCATTCACCTTATTTTGGGGTTGTCTTAAGAGCTCCAGCATAACCTCAGATCGTCAAGCCTCTTTCAACAGTGTCAGCCGCCGGAGATGCTGACCAGAGTGAAGGCTGGGCTGTTTTTCTACACTACAGGAATCATTGTTAATGATTTTTATCGCTGTTGTTTCATGAATGTACTGAATGGCCTATGAATCTGCCAGTGTCTTTTTTGGCCTGTGGAGGTTTATCCCTTTAACCGTAAATGATGTATTGGACTTGGACCCAAGTTCTCCAGTCTGGAAAGCCGAGTGACCACAAGGCAGTCAGGCATGGTTTGTATCAGTGACGTGCTCCACGAATAGAAAGGATCGTTGCATTTTGCTTTGGTCATGAGTTTGCAGAGCGTGCCTCGTCTCTGAAGCATCAAATCCGGATAAAGCACTCTAGCTGGGTCCTGCGTAAGCCTGCTTGGACAGAGAATCCCTTTGTTAACAACGGTGGGAAAAATCACACTACATGCTGATTGGCTCAGTCACTCTGTATCTGCTCTAAAGTCGTTCAGCTCCAGAAGCAGAAATATCTTCAAGTGATTGTCAACTTGTTCTCCTCCGTCTTCATTCAGAATTCCCTTTGGCTCCTGGAAGTCTTTAGTCTTCCTTTCAAGGACCATAAGGTACCTCGATTGTGAACATGCCAGTGTGTAATTTACAACTGAAGTACTCAACCCCAGATTGGTTCTCTGGGAACTTTAGGATCCACTAGGAAGCTGATCTGCTTAGCACTATTTTCAGAGGATTGATCTCTGTCGCAGCTGGGTTCCTTGCATTACCTCAGCAGAAGACTAGAATTAGAGAAAAAAGAAAGACCTTTTGGCCCTGTAAGTGTTAAGTATGTGACCTTGAATCACATTAATGGATTACTAGGGCCTGAGGTGTATCTAGGTATCTATTCTTTAGAAGTTTGTAGAATATATGTCTTCAAGGCTGTGAATTCTATACTAATTATGAATATTTTAAGGTCATACTGTATATATATTTTAAATTATGGAAGTTAACAGGTGAAAGCTGTGCAGTTTTGAGGGAGGGCTGCCTAATTTGCATCGGGTTAGGGAATATTTTTCAACCTCTTGCTTTATACTCTCAAATGCGGTGCGTTTATGAGCTTGTTAATGTTATTTAATCAAGCACATTTCCAATCAGTGAATTGCTCATTACTGACAAAAAGGGAAAATATGAAACACAGAAAGGGAAAATAAACTGACTTTTATAATAAATATCTGTCCACCTGGTTATTTTATATATACCGTGAGCTCCGCGCTGTAGAATGTGACTCATGCCTTGCAATTTCCTGCTACTGAGTGTTCCCTGGTGACTATTCACTGACCCTACGGTGTTGCCAGATTGTACAGGTCTATTTCTACTACATTCTGTGAAAGC